AAAACTGACCAGTGTGCCAGGCAGATTTTCGTTCCATGTTGATCAGTAGATAATGTTTCAGACTCAAACTAGTATTTACTAGTTTATTATTACATTTATTAAATAGCAAAATGTGGATTGGGTGAACAAAATAGCGGTACGGCTATGCTATTATTGAAAACGTTTTCGTGCGTTGGCACTTCAATTAAAACCAGTTCATCGAGTGTATTTTTGTATTCTATGTAATATATGTTTAGTATCCAGTTAGGTATTTCTCCAGTTCTCACTTTGAAAAAAAAATTCCGAAAAGAAACTCTAAGTAGTTACATTAAGCTACGACAGAGAACACTGGCTGCTACAGTGAGTGAGTGAATTGGGTTCAGTGCTGGTCTGAAAAGTATTTTGATAATATTCCGATGTGACGGCTTAGTAAGAGAGTACATTTATGCATATAAGGCGAGTATATGGATGGCAACTTCTTGTTTATTGTATATCACAACGTTTCTGGGCTACTTCTTGCCCGTTCTTCAGGAAGGAAGAAGAAGAAGGGGCAAGAAGTAGCCCATTCTTCAGGAAGGAAGAAGAAGAAGGGGCAAGAAGTAGCCCAGAAACGTTGTGATATACAATAAACAAGAAGTTGTCATCTATATACTCGTCTTATATATTCACCAACTTCTAAATGCCTCTCAAGAATACATTAATGCAGATGGTTTAACTGGATTAATCAGGGTATAATATATCGATTGTTTTAAATTCCAGGATCCATTTGTCATCAAAACTTCTTTCAACCGAAATCAAAGGTGCCGTTGGTAACATAGCCGACCAGTCAGAGAGCGAGAGAAGTAAGGTATCGAGCTGACGACGTCACTTCCGAAACCAAGTCGGATGGGTCCAGCTTATTTACCATAAGAAACAGGGGTATAAGTCACTGATATTCTAAGAGGGCAGGTTATAAACCACGAGCCACGAGCGCAGATATTGCAAGAAGAGAAGGGTGGTTGAACATGTTGCGGACAGCGCTTGTGTTTTAATCTCTTCTAAAGCTAAAACACAGAAACGAGAGGAACGATAAAGTCTTTGAATGGCATTTAGAAGCGAAACACATAAAGTGGGAAATGTATGGATGTCAACTTCTGTAATATAGGCAACAACGGGAGAACGACAGTCGTATAACCTGACACTTTGTAAAACCAGTTCCGCCATCAACGTTTTCAGTTGAGTGAGTGAGTATGATGTTATGCCGCTATTAGCAATATTTCAGCAACAATCTGGAACACCAGAAATGGGCTTCACAAATCGTAGCCATGTGTGGAATCAGGGATAATCTACAGCCTGCTATTCTCCCTGGTGGAATCGAACCCGGGTCTTCAGCGAGACGAGCGGACGTTTAACCATTAGGCTAGCCCACTGCTCCTGAATTCAGTTGAGAAAAGAGAGAAAAAAAGTTTATTCCCGTTTTACTTTTGTTCTCAACATATTATTAGCTTCGACAGATTAAAAGTTAAATACACCCACAAGACATCTACTTTCTTGCTGTGATTACTAAACCTTAGTATTGAATACTTATGGATTGAAGCGATGTGTGTATAAGAGAAATTACAAAGGCCAAATCACCATTCGTTCATTGCCACTGCAACAACTGCAGTGTTGACACTATATATTCTACCACCACGTTTATAATACTACTCAGTATGAGTCCAATTGTACTCTTCTATACTATGATTACCACCATTACTACGAAAACCACAACTACTACAACGACAACACTTTATAACAACAACTCCTAGTACTACAACTACAACTACTACAACTACTACAACAACAACTACAACAGGGTATACTGCAACTACCCCGAAGTAATAATTATACGAATATCATGATACATCGCTATATGGCGTGTCAAGAGCATGTTCGGTGCTGTTAAATAGGCTCCCTTGCATGTAAATGTAATTTTGAAGATACTGATGGTGAAATTTAAATCATATACAAAAATATCAAGGAGATCAATGAAGTTCTCCCATTCAGCCTTATATGGGAAATTCAAATTATTTTGTCCACCTATTTCAAACGTTTGAATTTCAAACGTCTTTGTAATTAACCGTATTGATTGGGACCAATTAGAGCGTAAAGTGCTCTTGTAATCCTCAATGAAAAATTGACATCTCTTTACCAGGAGCGACGCTGAATAATATATAACATTCCCAAAAATGTTAATTTAACAAGAAGAGGCAGCGCTCAAGTTTACACACATTGCCAATGGCGGGAAAAGACAATGGACACGGCGCAGAGCTTTTGAGTGAGCTTGCTTAGGGTCGCGGCAGGGAATTTGCTGAGCACAAAGGCATCCATGTTTTATTAACAAGTCACATATTGCTAGGCATAATGCCTATACATAATAAAACTCTGGTGAAATGTTAAGATAGGCTGAAATTCTACTTGGACATTTACAATAGACGGGAGACAATTTTCGCCATCTGTGGTGCCTTAAGGGGAATCTCTTTTCAAATAACGTTAAAAGCATTTTTTATAAGATTTTAACAATAATTCCAAGATAATAACGAATTACACATCCCTAACTCGAAACAAACAATATTCATGTCATTGTCAGGAAACGAATGAGTTTATTTAGATCTAGATGTCTTCTTAGGGGATGTACATGGATATCATTCTTGTGATATCATTCTTGTGATATTATTCTTGGTGACCACAAAGTCATGGAAAGAATATGCTTCGAAAAGAGTTATACGAAGATAAGCATGTGTTAGTGTAATCACATTATGGGCAGATATCATACATAATATGGCGTGGTGCGATCTGGTATAGTATAGCATGGCATCATTTCTGAAATTGAAAAGGAATGACGAGAACATGAACTATATATAATGCCACTCAAAGAAATTACATATAAACTTAAGGTTAGCATTCATTTTAACTCTACTGAGCTTATAACAATACTAAGATATGGATATGTTTGTTACAGTATTCGTGTTGACTAGATGTGTGTTTTTTAATATTATCATGGTTTTTATCTTTGTTTTATTGTGTGTCTGTCTCATAGGCCTAAATAGGCCGGACTCGATCAGTACCGGGGTGTGACACATTGTAATAAACATTTTTTCTTCTTTCTTCTATAAATACCTACCTTCAAGATGTACTTCGTATAGGCACTTGATGGTATTTGGTAAACAAACACTGTTGTGTGGTTATATTATATGTATCACATGGTTCATACAGATCATTTATATTCATAAGCCATCTTGTTATGTATATGAACTGTATTGTTTAGCCTTGCTCAAGCCTTGTACTGAATAGTAAGCCCATGGATGTATAGTAATTCTATCGTTTGAAGAGTCAACTCTCGATAAGCAGGCAGTACGTTAGACTGACATCTAGTCTCTGAAATTAACATATTACACAGAAAAAAAAAATTCAGAAAAAATAATCAGAAAATATACTCATGCCAATAATGGTTGTCACCCCTTCAATTTTTTTATTGGAGGTGGGGTGGGTGTGGGGGTTGGGGTGGGGAGGGTGTGACAACCATTATTGGCATGAGTATATAATGAAAAAGCCAAGAGACCTTTTTCATTTTCAGAAACTTTGGAAATCTAGACTTGCTACATATTCTAGACTTGCATGGGACTTCTTGGATATATTTGTTCCAGTGTCTGTGTGACAGACTAGCAGTACATCTAAGGACGCCAGACTGTTATAGGGATAATGTGTTAATTTTATATATTTTATAGAAATTATCATTTAACTATTAATTATTGCCTCAGAGACTTGTGCAAGGTTATGTATTGTTAGTTTCATGTTCAATGGCGTCGCGGTGTTTGTTTAGAATAAACTGAATACGAATCCCCTACGTCGTATAATTATTTTACAGATAAAGAGTTATAACAATGTGAAAGACACACTTAGAGTGAACTTTGTGCATTCGTGTGAGTGTTCCGGTCTAAAAGGGTGGGTGTCGTAAAAATGTCTCTAAAAGACAATGAGTCATAAAAATGTCCTTAAAGGACAATTCATCATTAGACCTAGTGAAAACACAAGCCATTCTTCAAAGTTTTGTGATAACTGTCTAAAATTGATTTTATGAGCTTTGACGGGAAATTATCTGTGTCGTTAAACCGCCTATTTAATCGGTCATTAATTTATATACGTATATTGGTGAGCTTGTACGGCCTGGCGACGCTTGTACGAGCGGTTATGTAACAGCTATCTACCTAAAACTGGGAATACCGAAAGGATTAACTCATCTCTGTGCCTGCCCAATTTTTATATGTTACCTACCTAATACAAATGTCTAATTACTTGCATTGCCGTATATGTCTCTCATTACCCAGTCTCGTTTAAATCCTGGAATGTCTGGTCCGTGTCAAATGCCTCATTGAACTTCAGACATATTTGGCTTTCCACATGCACAATCTACAGCTTTGATAAAATTTATTTATTTATTTATTTATTTATTTATTTATTTATTTATTTATTTATTTATTTATTTATTTATTTATTTATTTATTTATTTATTTATTTATTTATTTATTTATTTATTTATTTATTTATTTATTTATTTATTTATTTATTTATTTATTTATTTATTTATTTTCTAACCTTCCCATCTTGAAGCCATACAAAAGTTATTGGTTGTGTCTTCCTCCCTTAGTTTATGATCATGTATGCTGCGCGACTTCTTTGTATATTTCTAGTAAGTCATAAAAATCCCGCAGAGATAGCTAGGCGGTGAGGCGTAACTCGCACTGTCTCTTTCTGTTAACTTGGGGCCTTATTTTCACTTGAAGCCTTTCTGTCGGGTCACTGAACACAAATAGTATTCTAAAGGCTCTCACTTATCCAATCTTCAAAAGACGCCGACAGTCCTACCATGTGCTTAGTGTAAATAAAGACTACCCATATATGGCTCATGGAGCCACTACTTACAAAGGTATAAATCACTGTCACCTCTCGCTCAGCCAATCAGAGAGCAGATCGATCCTGCCTTGAAACTGACACGAGATGCATTGAGTGACAGTTGCCGCAGTGAGGCCCGTGTGTTGAGATGTAGCGGTTGAGCTCTACAACAGCGCGTGTCAGTTCAACTCGCGTCCTTATATACTTGTGTTGCAGCGCTAGGAATTTACTACAAGCATATTGTGTGTCTGACTGCCAAGTGCGATCTGTCAACATGTCTTGGATCTGTTTCCTGACCGTGCTGGTGGTGAGTAAAACAAACCCACAGTCAATACTGTATCTGTCTTCGCCTGTAGGGAAAACATGCGCGCTATAACGGGGGACACGGGGAGGTCCCAACGTGGGAAACCTAATTCAAGCTTTCCGTTTCTCGTAGCACTTAACTTCTAACTAAATAGGTTTTCTTTGGTATCGTTTCTCATGCCTATTTACGATAGATATACATAAGATTCATTTACCATATATTTGTTATCATCGTACCAAGATTCGACAAACTTTCCCAAACTTTATACATTCAATATTTGCGTCAGTTTATTTCCGATCTGCGGAGTTTATGAAACTGTTGATCTTTACTTAACATTCTCTCGTTATTCCGAAACCAATCATTGTTACAATCAGGAGGTCAGCCTCGGCACCCAATATCGATCCATACCAGAAAACTTTCAAAACCGATATCAGTGCTTGTTTAGTGCACTTAGGCGTTAATACAATCTACAAGTTCGTGTATTAATTTAAAGCTTGTGCGTGTATATATGATTACGATTGACAGGGAGTCAGAGACAAACTTTTGGTGCAATTATTTGCCAAATCAAATCTTATCGTCCTTCTTCCGTCTCTCCCTCATCTGTCTCTCAATCCAAGTATAGTTCGTCGGTGTCCTCGCAATCCCCCTGGTGTGTGTGAACGCAAGTTGTCAATAACTCTCGGTTGACAGAGTGTAGCCGTTTGAAGAGTTATTGAAGTGTCGGCAAAACATCGTAGGGGCCCCTTAGTGAGAAGAACAAGTAGAGGTCAAGTCGTACGTTTTCGTATGTTCGACAACCTTTTGTATATGACGGCTAATCTCTATTATTCTAGTCAATATTTATTTCCCGATATATGTTTACACACACTATAAAAGGTAACGGTTTTTCATACATTTAATTCCGATTTCGTGTTTTGAATATGTATCATAAGCTGGTGTTTTAACTTATCGAGTGAAATTGACAATGGATGTGTGTGTGACAGGTGCAAAGAACTCACTCTGACCTGACATGGATTTCAGTCAGTTTGCAATATACACCTGCAATCAACAGCATATGGCACATGCAGTAGAAAGTACTTTGTCTAATTAACCGTGTCCAGGTCGTTAATTAGTCGACACACCTGGGACCGATCAGGGAGCTTAGTGACAGTTTGCATTCCGCTCGTGAACGCGACGTCATAATGTTCACGATGTGAGAAATATACATCGAGATATGTAGCAACTGAAATCAACACTTGTCACTTCGCTTCCCCGCCTTTGCTGAAGGTATTTTCACTTATTTTTCACTTTTTTTTAATTGGATAAAGCATGTTAGTTATACATTATTATACATCTCTTTATTAGTCAATTAACTGACTTGAAATTAAACAAACTGACATATTATCAGGATAAGGAACTCTAAACAAATTTAACAAACAACATAACAGGTTAAAAGTGACACAAACAAGTAATTGATACAATTAATAAGTGCATGTAAGCATGTAGAAGGGAAGATCTGGTGTAGAATTCTCGTTCAAGTAGATAAAGTAAGGACGATCTGGTATTATTGTAAGGAAGACCTGGTGTAGGGTTCGTTTCATAGCCTATTGTTTAGACGACCTTGTGAAGTGTACTCATACAAGCAGATAGTAAGGAAGATCGGGTATTTCATACCCATACAAGCAGATAGTAAGGACGATCTTGTGTAGGGTACCCATACAAGCAGACAGTAAGGAAGATCGGGTATTTCATACCCATACAAGCAGATAGTAAAGAAGATCAGGTATTTCATACCCATACAAGCAGATAGTAAGGACGATCTTGTGTAGGGTACCCATACAAGCAGATAGTAAGGAAGATCGGGTATTTCATACTCGTACAATCATAGTAAGGACGATCTTAAGTAGGGTACCCATACAAGCATATGGTAAGGACGATCTGGTGCAGAGTACCCATACAAGCATATTGTTAAAGACGATCTGGTGTAGGGTATCCATACAAGCATATGGTAAGAACGATCTGGTGTAGGGTACCCATGCAAGCATACTGTAAGGACGATCTAGTGTAGGGTACCCATACAAGCGTATGGCAAGGACGATCAGGTGTAGGACATATCAGTGGGCCACCCTGTGATGTATATAGGTAGCAACGAGGACACTATATTGACAGATACGAAGTCGGTAGGTGTCCTGTCTGTTGTTGGTCGTTCCGGTGATGTTTTCACTTGAGCGACTCACCTACCGAATGACGGTTTATGGCGGGAGATTGTCAGCTAAGAAATTGATGGGCTCTGGCCCGATTAAAGGGGTTGTGAAAAACTCGGTGTATCACAAATGTGAACAATCCTTTGGTGCGAAGTGGATGTCAGTTTGTCATTGAGAAAGTCCGCTTGACAGTGTTAATTTGTCCACGCAACCTATCGTAGCGTAGCTATTTGTGTTATTATCTTTAATGATTGCATTCTAGATAGTATCTATTTCCACACAAGGGTCTTTCAGTGCAGTGAATTGAGTGTGAAGACTGGTTGGCAATTTGAAATGCCCATTAGACAAAGAGGTGAATTTGTCCTGATACTTTTAGGTTACCGGTATGTGACAATTTTATCAGCCCCCGGGAACATATGAATTATTTTCAAAATCATGTTTTTCCATGGAATAAATGTGGTTTGATATAAAGAGATGTAAATAGCAAATGTTAAGCAAAGAGATAAAATATTCTCAGCCTGCAGTGATAATTCAGGATTTATAACATCGCTTGTACAGAAACGTTTTTGTGTAAACCGTGTCGTCTGCTGGATCAGGTCGCCACTAGGTGTCGCTGTTCTGTCGTCTGCCTTACACATCGGTCGAAAACGTGACATGCTTTCGCGATGATAAATTGTATCTCCCCGAAGCAAAGCAACTGAACACACACATTTTGCTCTAGGAAATATTCAAAATAAACAAACAAATTCAGAATGAATGGCCTCCGGACAATCCAGCAGTGAAGGCGAAAATAAGTATTGACGTCTGCGAAATCTGTTCATCAACTATCGATTGGAATACCTTTGAAGTCTGCTCTTATACGTAAATGATCCCTTTGAAATGATTTTACAACCAAAGTCAACGATCGTTCAATGCCGTTTCTAACAGAGATCAGAGGTTCACGCTGGAGACAATGCCACGCATAACGAGTATCCCCCGTATTTCAAACAATATTCGTCACGAATCTCTGTACCCAATTGCATTACTTCAACTGAATCTATTCATTATAACAAACGTAGCGCCATTTTTAAACCCACACCTTTTAAGGGATTAATCTAACAAGTATTATCTCCTTCAGATTTTCCCAAATCAATACTTGATTCACATTTTGGTCATAAACTCCTTCCAGGCCAGGCCACTCGTAGCTAACCTGAAACTTCATCCAACCCATGACCAATGTTATTGACATCAATGACCGTTGTACGTCTCCCTGACAGTTATCAGCAGACCACAGTTCTGCTATGTTGAGTCCATTCATATGGCGATCTGACATTCGCTGAGAATGTACTTGGAAGCATATCCCGGAATTAAATCTTCCTAAGCAGTGTACCATATAGCCCTTGAGGTTCGGACCGTCTGATAAGAGGAGTAATATCTTCGGGGCAACCGTCATCGCCATCGCAAACAGACGACAGAGCTTCCACATTCCTGAATGTGGTTTGTAACCCTGTTTAAGACAGTGTACACACTGGTGTAGTTGGGCCCGAAGAAAGTAGAGATGTGGCTTCTTTTAAAGTGCTCCTGGGGGATTTATGCACTGTTTGAGGGCTATAAGACTACTACCGATCAGCCTCAGTGTCAACACACACCCCGCCGCCGTTCTCCTGACAAACATGGCTGCCGTGCGTGAGGTCACCATTTCTCAACATTCATAATTCTCAAACATCGCCATCTTGCACTCGGAGATGAAGTAGTGCTGTCTTCAAAGCAGATCAGTTAACTTTAATCTGAGCAGTATCGTAAAATACCGTCATTCGGGCGACTAATAAACTCGCCTTCAAACGCAACGGTATCGCAATCTTTTCAACTGTTAATCTATCATTATGAAGGTAAATATTGAGAAAAAGTTGTACAAACTTGATTTTTTTCTAAAGATACTCATCCCATCAGCTGCCCAAATTGATCACCCTTTAAAAGTAAATTGAATTGACTTAAGAGCCCCCGTTTAACAGAGCTGCCAGATCTGCCAGAATATTTGACACAGTAACAAGCAAATACGTTCAGTGAGGGATGAAACCTATGGTAGGATATTCTTTTGAAGCAGAACCAAACTTTCTTATGTAATGATTACTCATGGGTAACGTTCTGAATGAACCAATAATTTTACACATTTTCCTGGCATAACTAATTACAGGACATGTGATCATTAAGGCTTTGTAATCGACAGGAAAAGGAAATGTCGTTAATATCGCATTTTTAGTATTTTCACCCTCTTTACCAATCCGATTGTAGGACATATTTAGAACCATTGTTGCACTGTGATAAAAATTTCTTGAATAATACCCAACAAAGGCAGTTTCTATTGCCCGCATCTTTGTGGCAACGGGGCGAGACGATGAGATATTCTTGTATCAATTATTGCCCCGTTTTATAACGTCGTCCCAGCATAGCAGGACATATCCAGCTCATTCCAATTGTTACGGCAAGTTTATGGCCGGATAGCAAGTTGGCTCTAATTGATCAGATCTTGGACATCTGGCTTTGTCAGTCGTCAGTGGGTGGGCAACAATGGGGTGGGCAAGGGGCTGAAGAGGGAGGGGTGGGGTGGGGGCGATAGTTGAAAGAGGTGGTTTGGGGGATGGTGTCTAAATGATGGGAAAATAGAAGAAGGACAATAAGGGGCTTTGGGAGCCCAGTTTTACTGAAGAACTGAATGGGGTGATGGATGTTCACAAAGGGTCGATGTTGGTGTTTTGGGAGGATGTTGCTGTCTTTTGGTTTGGGGAAGGGGTTTGACAGCACCACTCTGGTTATATGGTGAACCTGTTATATTTAGGAGTAAATGATTCATATTAATACGGGCACTTTGGAATAAGCCTGATGGGTTAAGGGAGATTTATTCATATTAGCATTGACATATTTAGATATTTTACGTTGAGAGTGATTTGGTCAGAAGAGTTGAAAGCATAAGACATGGAGACTCTGTAGGTTATATGGTATTTTCCCTCGATGCCAAGGACAAAGACTTGCCTTTCTGACCACGGACAAGATTATACTAGACATTCAGTTGTACAGATTGGATACGGATCTGAAAATGCCTGGCATCTAGGACAGTGTCATTTAAGTGCACGGTGACACATTCGCTTAGACAACTTCGGGATACGTACGCGTGTGTCTCAAATACCGGGGTCGTAATTAAACTCGTTTCTTTTAGAAACTTATTAGCCTCTCGTAAACTTTGTTATTTAATTTATTATACGGTCAGGTGGCCCACCTCTGTCTGTGAGCGAATACACAGAGTCTTGTTCAATCGTCATTGGTTTGCCAAGGGATAAAGGAACGAACGCTGAACCTATAAACTAAATTAAAGTCCATGTCATCCAGCGCTGTCATTTAAATCCGAGACAATGGGCTGTTAGATCAAAGTTGCAAGTGGGGCTTCTGGGATGGTACGGAACGTTGAAGCGACCACACTCCGAGTTTGCGTAATTACGTTGTCTTTAATTGCGACCGGTTCATTGTTTCGTAACAGTCTGAAAATTACATTTTTACACTTGCAATGTGTACGTGTAAGAATCTTCAAAACACCCTTAGATGCGAAGGCATGGAATCAAGAACACTCGGGATGAATTATATATGGCTTTGTTTTACCAACCCATACAGGGCCTCGCGTAATGTCGGATGCGTTCGTTGGTCGATGAACAATCTGTGAAAGCAAGTTGTAGAGGACATCGTTAAATTTGCTTTGAAGGTGCATAAACAGCTGTTTAGAGCGGCGGTCCGACAAACATTGAATGTTGTACACACAACTACGCCAACGGCCATCCAGCGACAATGTCAGTTGTTGTCACTGGAGCATAACATCGTTACGCTTGTGCGATGTTTGTTACGGCTAAATAGAGATGATTTAACGTTATTGGGACGCTACAGTCGTGTTCCATTGTGTTCAATTAGAGAGTATTTGTCAAGAAGGAACCTACTGCTGTCAGACTCCTGTCAAGCGGACACTGAATGACATCTTCACGGTAACCAGTTAAAACTAACTTAGATCACTCACTATCACTTGCTGATTACAGGGTCAGCTCTCCTCGACCATGTTGTGACACATCAGATCACACATTTGTCATTCAAATACATCTAATATGAGGCAATTAAAGAACTTGCGAATCCTCCCCTTGAGGGTGGATGAAGGAGTAACACTTCAACCCATGAGAGACAATGTGTTTCAGAATTTAATAACCAGACATTACTCCACTGCTCCTATGTGCCTGGACGTGTCCCGGGGCAAGGAGAGAACTTGTCACTGGAACAGCAAGGTGTTAAGATTATGGGAAGAAAGGATAAATCTAGAGTGTAAATTACAATGATACAATACGACTTAATCCATGTCAAATTTAACAATGAAATTGTTTGGCCAGGAAGTTCGTTCGTAAGCAGTTATGTTATTTTGTAACAGCTGTCACCATAACAAGTATAAAGAAATGTACCACGTTTAGTATACAGAATTTACCATCGACGGTCGAAAGAGAAAAACATGTCGTTTTAGTATAGTGGAAGGTCAGACGTATTACACGTAAGTCTTAACAAGCAATTTGAACCACACTATGTTCCTACATTTACCACAGGGCCGGCAACTGTCAACCTCTTGGGTGATACATAACTCAAAGTCACTGGAGGTTGTCTTTTCCCGAGCTCTGACGATCCTGTAGGATATTTTGTACACGCTGTCTCGGAGACGAAAGAAATTGTAAGCTTAAAAACATATACATCCTGTTTGTCACCGAGGACCCGATGTTACGTTTGATGTTTCACTTGGCATTGTCATAAAATCACACCGCTTGAATGTCTGATGGTAACATAAATTCTACGCCCGAAAATCCCTCTCCAGCGTGGTGAAATATCGGGACCTGTTTCACGCAACGCTCGGACAAAGAATATCCCTCCAGTTATATTTAGCATGAATGTGAAATCATTTAATTTTGCACTTCTTTCACGAAGCACGGAGTACTAAAATCAGTTTTCAATTACGAATGTGTCGTAAAATTCATATCAAAGCGTTGGCTTCCGCCTACAGCGACTAACCAATTCTCCATACAGCGAACGATATAACCACATGCATCGAATTTGACTTGAACACGCGCTGTCGGGAGTTGATTGGTCTGATTGCGCATGTGTAGTCCGTGCAACGATCGTCTGCTCGCAGTGTATGTGTGCGTTCTTATCAAAGTGTAAGTGACCCAAGTTAATTGGTCAGTTAGACCATAAAGGATTTATCTAGTCTTTCTGATAACTACAGTGTGTTTAAATGGAGGGTAAAATGGCCAGACAATTTGCTTGTACAACCGAGATAGCGATCGGACGGTGCCTTTGACTTTCCTAATCACGAGGGCACAGTCCACTCCGATGCTAATTGCAATGACAAAGTAGCCTTTGGCGGGAGTGTGTGAAATTTTATGGTTGACAGTTAATGGGAGTCCGCTATGTCAATGAGCCGTGATCAAAACCACCATCTTTTCTCTAGCTTTGATCATAAATGGAAGCCATTTTGGGGAAATAGCTATTCTGATATAGCTGATGAGCAATGATCTGGACGTGTTGTTTCAGAATAACAGAACGACGAACCCAAAGAAAGCAATCGTGAAAGCAATACTTATTTACAAAGCAGATTTGTTTTATCTGTGACGTAAATATTGCAAATATCGTATGATATGTCTGCTGAGACCTAATTTTGCTCGTATTTCATTATATAATCAGTCTACAAAAGTCTGCCTTCAAAGAGTCGGCAGGAAGTATTTTTCAGCAAAGATAAACATAATTATGTGATAACATCAATATAATTACGTCTTTGAATATGCCAATTCTGTGGAATATGTTTGTACAAATTAATTGATGAATATTCCACTTAATGAAAGTAGCTTGATGTTGTCCATGTGAAATAAACTCCAATGTTGCCATAGCTACAGAAGACCTTTTGGTCACCCCTTGCATTTTGATATAGGCTCAAGTATACAGTGCTGGGTTCTTTAAAAATGGACTTATTCCTTATTAAAATATTTATATATATTATCTGTGGGGTTGACACTCATGATAATTCTTCACCAATCTACCCCTTCCATAACAACATGCAAATCATATGCCAATTTCATTATATTTCAATATATTTCCCTAAAATACTTGATAGTATTTGACTATTTAAATTTAAGGAACATGAATAGATCTGAGGGTTACAGCTGGTTTCATATACCCAAGCAAGAATTGTGACAGAAGTGAGTGTGTACAGAGAGAGGGGGTGGAGCTATGAATACAGGCAGGGACAATGTCTGAAGGGGGTTCTAATGTAAGGAGGGGCTGAGTAGCACAAAGGAGAGCTTAGATCACAGAATACAGATATTACAGGGAACAAACTCACTTGGCAGTTGGAGTAGTTCTCAGTCATGCATGCTTGGAGTTTAGTGTTGGGATATTCATTCACTGACGTTTTCTTTTCTGGCTTCAGTTTTACCTTGTAATTCAGCATTTACTCATTTTATTTAAACCTGTGAAGGTCAGGGTTAGAATGAATCTTTAGTAACCCATGCTTGTCGTAAGAGGTGACTAACAGGATCGGGTGGTCAGGCTCGCTGGCTTGGTTGACACATGTCATCGGTTCCCAATTGCGCAGTTCGATGTTCATGCTGTTGATCACTGGATTAAACTTTGGATTTCCACTTCTCTCAAAGTTGACTTGCTTCAAATAGTTTTGGGACAATATGCTATTTTACAAAGGGGACTGAGATATGTATTGTTTATTGTGTCCAGGAAAACATTATTAGTGACAGCTTACACTGTTTACATTGCATCTGTACAAACCCATGGTAAACTGGGTGGGAGGTCACATATGGATAGGTTCAGCTATACAGAAGGGAAAACAATCAGGCAGTGACGAATTCAGAATCAAAAGTTGTATTTCATAGCTTGTGATACAAAGACCCTGGTCCTGCATAACTGTCATTTTACACAGATAGTCTAGTTTCATCTCTGATTTATAGGTCCAACTTTGAATTAACCAGGGCTCTAACACAAGTGTGATAATTTGCTGTAAATGCTATGAACACAGATCCTAACGTGATAATTTTGATGTGTTGGTATGTTTTATTGCCCGCCATGAAAGGCTGCTTGAAAGGGTTTTCTGGGGTCACCAGTTATGAGCAAGGCCCTGATGGCAAATCATGTTCTCTTGTCAAAATTCTCATCCTTAATTTAAAAAAATTATGAATGTTTTTTGTTGTTGTGATTTCATAGATACCATTTATCATTTGTGAAAACAGGGATTAAACCAGATTCCTTTACATGCATATCGGCTAGGGAAGTTTCTTTGAAATTCATTACAAATTTAAACCTTTTACAGAAGAATGTCCCCCAAAAGCACTACTAATGTTACAGGCGACAAAAGCGTATCTCAGAAAGATCTCTTTCAACAAAAATGGAAAGGAAATAAGTGTAAATTTGGAATGAATGAATGAATATATGAAAGAATGAGTGGCTATGCTTGCTTGAACTATAAGAATGGGATTCAAGTTGTGTGCAAGGTGTGAAAAAAACTGTTTTCTTGAGGATCTGATGACTTTTCCTAGATACTTGTTAAGGATAACTCAGTGCTAAAAGTACATTGTATAAATGCCACTAATATGATATTTTTGTGTAATTTTTCTCTGATGTTTCAGATTTTTCACCTGTTATTACTGTAAATATACTATTGAGTTTTTACATATACCTTTGTTTTATTTCAGTGTTGTCAAGTCATGGTGAAGTCTGCTTGTGATAAAGATGAATATGACTTAAATGGACAACAGTGTTGTACCAGATGTCCGGCAGGGTTTGGGGTTACCCGTCAGTGTACTGTAGGGAATAACACCTCCTGTGAGCAGTGTGGAGAAGGAAGTACCTATTCACCAAACACAAGTCACTCTAAGCCATGTCTGAACTGCACCAAGTGCCCAAAGGACGCAACTGTGAAGGCACCATGCAATACTACACATGACACTGTGTGCGAATGTGCACCAGAGTATTTCTTTTCTGTGGACACTGGAGAGTGTAAGGCTTGTGAAATTTGCCCAGGAGGCTGGGGAATCTCTGTGCAGTGCAGTTATAATCAGAATTCTGTGTGTGACTCTTGTCCAAATGGAACATTTGCTCGTGAAATCAGTTTCACAGAAAAATGTCAACCATGCACAGTATGCGCCAGTGACCAGAAGATGCTGCAGACATGCTCACCATCCCAGGATACTATATGTTTAAGTAAGTAACAACACATTGTCTAAAACCTCAATAAATACATTAAACCAATCAGTAATCATTCGATGATGATGCCAATGATCTGTTTGCTGATGGAAAAAAAGCAAACATATTTGCTAATATACGAAATATTTGATTCAGGTCTCAAATACGATGAAAAAATCCAGCTCAGATCTCTCTCTCTCTTACTTAGTAAGCAGCTCTAGTGCTGTTTTTATTTGTGGGTCCTTTTAAGTGAGCTACAGTACTTTAGAGTATATCAAAGTGACTTTGGCTATAACTTAACATCTGCCTCAAAATGTTAAGATCACTAGATAAGGTCTGACAAGTTTTCCTCCTGAACATATATTCAATAAATTAATGTTTTGAGTAAATGAAGATGTTTTTGAGCTTAAAAGCAGTTAAGGTAAGACTGAAACATACTGTGCACTGCCCAATGTGACAATGTGTTCACATAATTTGTGAATGGAACTTCAAAAATATTCTTACTTAACAAAGTAGTAAGGATTTAGACATCCTTAAACCAACATGTAATGGCCACACCTCTATAAGGAGTAAGAACCATTTTTTGTCAGTGTTGTTGAATGCTTGCTAATTCACTGCTTCATTCGACTTCAAATTTCTTAAGAGATGACATAAATAGACACATATCAAGCACACACCTTTTTCACCATGATCAGAAATTGTTAAAAGTGTTCCATATCATCTTTGATAAAAAAAACCCAGACAGCTTCTTTCAATGTTTCCAAATAATCCCCCGCCATGGTGTATATCCACACTCAGAAGACGAGTGTAATACGATAGTTGGCTCTGCAAACATTCTGTTAGGTCTTTTCTCCAAGTTTTATGACAAAGGACAAATTGAATCAACAGACAGAATGATAATATTGTAATTCCCAAGCGCAAATAAACTAAACAAACAAATGCTTAGGCTTTTTTTTCAAAAGAAAACGATCATCAACTTTCCAAAAGGGCCAAGTCCCTTTTCATGAACAAAAGGAAAAGGAAAGTTTTATTCAGTGCGAACATCTAAAGGATTAGAGTGTGTCTCTAAGGCACCTGTTTCTAAACAAGTCAAAGGGGAATAGCATTTAGCAGTGAAAAAGCTGTCTTAACGTCTCTCACATAGTGCTGCAGAAGAGATGAACATGGTGGACACAATCGCATTATTCCACACAACTAGTTTCAGTTTGGGCTTTGACCAGAAATTAGACAAATTGCCAACTTATTAAATTCAACATCAATGTCGCATTGCCCATAGCTTATGACATAGTGCAGTCAAATATTGGTTCAAAGTCAGAACCAAAACACGATTCCCATACTTTCATTGGATACATATTCGAGAGAATGAATACATAGAATAGAGTCAAATGAAACCAAATATATTCGTAGAAACGAATAAGGGAACACATGAAAGCACAAGTGTTCTTTTGTTCTTTTCCACGTTTCTTCACAAGGTATGAATTGCACTGTGGGTGAAATTCTGGGAATGAATAAAGGAACACTTGTACTTTCATGTGTATCTTTACTCGTTTCTATGAGTATATAATGAGAGTAATTTCTGCAAAGGAATATTTTCATTTGAATAGAACTTGTTCTTGTTAATATGACAATTCCAAGGACACCAGCTTGTTTTCTTTTTTATGTATTACCCATGATGCTATCGAGAAAGAAGTGACTAAATCCTATCCTGAGAAAGTACATGGTGTTAGGACTAGTTGCATGATTTCCGTCAGCCAATAATATGTAATGATGATATGATGGAAAAAAATTGTTTGGGTGGCATTTTAGAAGTTGCTGGTATAGAGATGACTCAACTTTATGGATGATCAACGTCTTTATTTTAACAATAGCGACGTTTCAGTATAGGTTCTTATACCATTGCTTGAAAACGGTATAAGAATCTATACCGAAACGTCGCTATCATTAAAATAAAGAAGCTGATCATCCATAAAGTTGTGTCATCTCGATGGAAAAAATGCACATCATCGAATGTTCATTTACTTTCAGCAAATATCATTCTTTGACATCTTATGAACGTGTATGGAAACAGCTTGTTAGATTAGAAAAGAAAATGTTTATTCACCTGTCACTTTCCTGAAACAACGCTGTATGTTCTCTTTGTGGGTGCTATCTCAAGCTGTAAGTTACATCTGTGCATGTGGTAGATAATGTTTACCCAACAAAAACATGATAGAGCTTATTTCTAAATCAATAAAATACAATGGCAACAGCTTGTAATTAGGCAAATCGTGTACTCTCAAGACACAAGCTGTTTATCTCTAAACAACATAAAAGGAATATTGATTTCAGTGATATTTCACAGGTCTTGTAGAACTTTTGAAAAGAGCCTAGAGGGAATTAACATCTAAGTTATAAGAATTTTATTAAGATTTCTGTAAAATACGATTAATTATTATTATATGTGTGTCACAAATATGTAGTAAACCAACAGAAAATATATCATCAGTATTTATCTCGTTTTAACTGCGATGAAGAAGACAACACTACTTGAGTAGCTGGATATCATCTTATGACTGGAACTGAAAGTTTGCATGGCATCCGAAGTTAAATATCATGTTATTACTGGTAGCAGAAAGTTGGTATGGAATTAAACTGATCCTCAATGTTTGACAACACAAAGAAAATGGCTGACAGCCCCACGATTCCCTACCCATCAATCTTTCCTTTAGTGAAAAAATAATGCCGCAACAAAAAGCATCTGAAAGAACTTCAAAACACGAATTGAACATCTGACATTTTTGTGGGCAACGTTTTTGCGTTTATTGTAGAGAGCAGTCGGCTCTTGTCTTCCAATTACATAAAACAAAGGAATCCCACTGAAATCACTCCATCCCCAAATTACATAAAACAACAGCTTTCCTTTGAAATAGCTCTTTGTAATGTTAGATCCAATTCTACGAGAGATTCCCCTCAGGACGTTGATTTCATTAGAGCATAATTACATCATCAATGTCCGTGATCGCCTCTACGGGCTTCGAAAGTTAGCGAGATCAAACTCAACAATATTTTACCGATGTTCACATTTGCACCAGAGCCATGATCAAAGACAATTTCCCTTTGAAACTGTATGAAAGGAGAAAGACGGCAGAATTAGGACCACCCCGCTCTTAGCCCTAAACCAAATAATGGCTATTAATTAGGTATGGTAGTGGATGGGCGTAATATTGTAGATGAGTCGTGCAAATGCTACATTTTAGGCGTTGGATAACATTTTGCATCATGCATAATATTGATTGATCCTGGTATTATGGAATTTGTAGCACTTTGTATGTGTCGTTAAAAAAACAAGTTCAAAGAAGCGTATGAATGATAACATAGACTGTTGGTACTAACTGCAGAAATGTGTGATATATTTGAATTCATAAAGCGTTATGAGAGTCGTTGCTAGAGAGTTGTAAACTCCCTTTTGGCTTTAATGTCCTCATGTATCAAACACATTGGGATCAGTTTTATGCAAGCCCCGTAAAATTTGCTCAATTACGACATTACAACAGGTCAGGAATAGGCCAGAGTTAAATTGTGAACAATTTGCAAATTCAAGATAATTGGTAGCCATGCCTTTCAGAAATACAACAATCCTATGAACTATTTTTCCAATTTTGTTAAAAATTGATAACTTAATATATATGCTAAATATACATTGATATGCTTCATGCTCACATTTGAAGCAGTTTTGTCAAACGAGCATGTGCTGCTTGGACTTCCCTTTGATGTTTTAAAAAATGTATTACCAAAAGAGACTGCAGCAAAAATCACGATTGAGCATCAATGAAGATATTTAAATGCATTAGACATTTTAATAAACAGGTCTTAAAAGGTAACATGTTAAAAATATCAAAAGAAAGATTCCTTTCATCAAACTATCTGTTGATGAGCACATGCTCACTTTTAGATTAAGCATTTTTTAAAGATTGTTTAAAGCAATTAAAATGTTTGGCATCATCAATACTCGAGAGACAGGAAGCTTTCAGTTCTGTTTGTTTGAGGACTATTCAGAATTATATCAAGTTATCATGGAATGGTCTTAAATTACCTCACAAAGGGCAAAAGAACATTCTGATAAACTTCAAAGTTTCTCTTTCATGCTTAAAAAGAGTGGTTTGTGACATGTACAACTTGCATGTTCGAATATATGCATAATATTAGGGTTTTTTTTATTTTAATGATTTATGGAAGGCCTTCACAGGGGACCTTTGATGAAAGCGTGCTTTGTGAGTTTGTTATAGAAACTCTCTCACTTGAAAAATCCAAACAGTTTCAGGACAAAGTAAGAATATTGCTATCATTTCATATAAAACTGGGTGGTATCTTGACTTAACGACACATTTTGAATACTTTGTAGTTTGTTGAAATGTTCAGGTTTGGTAGTCTGTAAAAATACACAAAGTTGTTAAGTTTTGGTGTAGGTTTATTCACTGTAGTTTTAGACATCCATCTCAGTGAAGCTTGCGTTTGATATCTAGACCATATATGGCCCCTGGCAAACTAACTTGCTTTCTTTCATGCTCACATGTGCAAAAATAATCTCAAAATTTATTGCTAGTCAGAGAAAACAGTATGCTTTTGAAAAGGCAGTGATTTTCCGCTGGCGTGTTGCATTTATTATGATGAGAATCTTTCCCTCAACACAGCTGTTTGGTTGCCAGTTCATCCTGGCGGCCATTTTGGATAATACTTTCACTATAACAACATATTCTGGAATACTAATTTTGACCATATTACTGTGAACTCTGCAGTATTTAGAAGAAACCCCCTCACTTCCATTTAAGAAAATCTCAAGGCTTGTAATATGTGTCTGAAGGAATCTCAGGAGAAGAAACAAAGTTATTTTCATGTGGTTACTCTAGCTAAGTTGTATTTGTTACACCTTGTAAATTAATAACTATCTATTTGATCATTTGTAATTCAGTAATTAGTTATAACTGATGTCAAAGAATCTGGAAAAGTCATCTTTCTTCAAGTTTTTCAGTTTTGCTAATTATGTGGAAATTATGTGCGTCCATCATAAGGCAGGGAGGGTTCTTACCTGGGAAACACTCTTTTTATATGATTTTTTGGCATATATGCAGGCATTATTTGTAAGATATGATAGGCGTGATGTATACAGCCTGTTTGTAGGGACTGTAACAGCGTCGGTGCGGAAGCCATCATACTTTACCCACCTCATTTGCCTGTTTTATGACATGGAAGGGAGCAAAGGAATTTCCCCCAAAGACGAAGAGTTTTTATTCCTTGCTCGTAATCTTGTTGATAGTTGTCAGCTGTTTTGTAATTATCCTTAACTTAAAGGAGGAGTTATGAATCCGTGTGTATGATCTTGCAAAATCTGTGTTAGATGTGGCTATGTTATAATCAGCTGTACTGAAACTAAAAAGCTGTCGGGAACATTAAAGTAACCTCTTTGAAGGCCTATGTTCATGTCTCACTTGCCCTCACGCTAAAGGTTCATACACGTTCTGACCGTTTTTATGCAGATTGAAGTTTATATGGGCAAGATTAGCAGTATTAGTCCAGCTGAGTTCATCTTTAATGACTCTCTCCTTATACATGGCAGCAGTTCCATGAAAGATTAAACTGTGGTTGGAAGATGATTAAAGCACATTCCGTGTAAATTGAATTTGCAGTTATATTGAAGTTTTATGGATGGTATGAATGGATTGATGAATATATTCAGAACTGGGTAAAGAAATATCTCATGCATTAGACACGTCACAGGTAAATACATCCCAATGAATGTGATATGTGAATATATTTACTCACCATATGTGAATATATTTACTCATTATAAGTGAATATATTTACTCATTATATGTGACTATATGTACTCATCATATATGAGGGGCGGTGGGGTAGCCTAATGGTTAAAGCGTTGGCTCGTCACGCCGAAGACCTGGGTTCGAATCCCATCATGGGCACAATGTGTGAAGCCCATTTCTGGTGTACCCCGCCGTGATGTTGCTGGAATATTGCTAAAAGCGGCGTAAAACCAAACTCAGTCAGTCAGTCATTATATATGAATATACATGTATATACTCATTATATATGAATATATATACTCATTATATAATATATATACTCATTCACTTATTTCATTAGTTTCTATCAAGCATCCAATACTTTAATAGGACTACATGGAAGTACAAACGTAGGCCTTAGTATATGCAAGTTTGTTTGTGTACATATATATGTTGTTTTGTGAGATCAACATCTTAATTGTTGTTTTCAGGTGTACCTATCTACAGCACAAACCCAGGGGGTAAATATCACATCCCCAATGAACACACCATCCAGAAAGAACACAAGCCTCGAGAAAAGGATATTGACATCATTCCCTTATATTGTGCAATTCTTGGAGCTGTCGTGGTTGGACTTCTGGGATCGTTATCCTTGTTCACTATCGCAGAATGAAGGAAAAGCGTCTTGTACGAGAGCCTCATGAGGATGTTGAGTACTCTAAAGCTTCAGGTGGAGACAGTGGGATTTATGTGGAGGTTGAGCATCAGCAAAAGGGAACTAATTGTGGTGAGTCCAGTATCAATATGAGCGTAATATCTCCCTGGGTGGACAAGCCAAGACAACTTTGGCTCATGATAAGTTCAGATACATATAAATGCAGGTAAATATCAAGACAGTGTAGAAAGTAGAAATAAATAAACATAAGTATTTCATTTTTTGTATCCCTAAAATATGAATTTTTGTCTTTTTTGAGGAGAACAAATATTTTTTACCATGGATGTTCAATCTCATATCAGTGCTATGACTGCAGTTATTTAAAGAATGTAGGCATGGACTTTCGACTATTTCCTTAAAAACATTTACGTTTACAAGACAGGGATGATTGTTTTTGCATCAGTAGTCAAGTTGCAAAATCCATCCAGTTAAAGTAATGAAAAACAGCTCCCAGCTTTTATTACCTCTATAACTAAGTGCCTCAGTAACACATTCTCCTCATTGTGAATAAGCTTCACTTGGTTGTTCCCGTTTGAACCTGTAGGCTATCTCCTAGAGACCCATCTCAAGCACTGAGAAGTTGTGTTCAATCTTTTAGGTGTATGTATATGAATTTGATAAAGGCAAATACAGGCATCAATGGTGAATCGACAGCTCGCAGTGAAATTTTTGTCCCCGACAACTGATGTCAGAGCTATAACACAATCTTTGATGAATCCACAGTGGCAATGAATTAAAACTTTATGCATGTAGAGTTTGGTGATCAAAGTGGTATAAAACTGACTGCTCTCTACTTCAAAGGGACTCAATAGGCGAACTAACACTCGCCTCTTGTGATATTATCAATTACTCCTAGCTACTGACAAAAAGCGGAGAATGTTGCCACTAATCGATAATGTACATTCTTTCATGTGCCATTAAATGTGTGAGTGGGGTTGTCCACTTCCAAACAGAGCGACTTGTATTGTCAGATAGCAGGGTTGCCTCCCCTGCTTAGAAATAAAATCATGTCATAAAATTTGAAGTAGGTGTAGTTTGAGGAAGGGTTATGGGTATGTGTCACTAGGATTAGAGCTTGGCTTCACTGCTGAAATTATTGCCATTGATTCTGTAATGGATGGAAGGAGGGTATTGATTATGTAATCTTGAGAATAAGAGAAATGAAAGAAAGATTCAGTGAACAGGGGAGGAATTATGACATGGATGAATGTGATCTCTGATGACTAATGAACCCATATCAGTGTGAAGGGGATGCTTAAATTATCAGCACATGCACGACTTTCTAAGAACAAGAAAGTGTTTCAAAGTGGCAATTAACCATCCTACAAAAAGGATAAAAGAACACTCATGGAAAATATAGGAATGATTTGTATGGGATAATTATATTCACGTTTTAATTTCTGACTAGAGTTATCATTTAGAACAAACTAATTAAAATGAAATAATTTGGAGGTAATTCAACCTTTTGCTATCCCAGGTCTGTCCACATTTGTGTTAAATATACAAAAAGATACAAATCAGTTATCACTGCTAGATAATTGTAGTATTAGTTTTAATGGTAAAGCTAGCAAACTGTATACGTATTAGTTTTAATGGTGACTATTTTCTTCTGCAGCCATTGTCACATGTGCAACAAGGATACGAGACCTGCCACAAGCTAAGAAAAGGGAGCTGGAACGATGCTTCTCTCAGAGTGCATGTCAAACAGAATGGAGAGGGCTTGCAAAGGAAATAGGTGTGTATACCGAGTGTCTGTAGCACAAACATTTCTCAACAACATGGTTATGAAACCCTTTATCCATTACCAACCAATCAACATTTCCACTATGATTTGTAATGCTGGTCATTTGCTTATCATAGATGCTTAGTTAAATTTGATTAGAAATACAAAAGACTTGATGGGGGTTATTCTGTTACATCAAATTAGGACATTCTTAGGTAATGTTAATTTTTATGGCTTACTAATGATGAAGGAGGCTCACTAATAATAAAGGAAACACACTTGACATCAGTCAAGCTAGTGTTTGCTGAAGTTCAGCTGAAGAAAGATGATAAGTTATTTTTTCTAAAAGGAAACAGGTGACATTTGCTAAGTGAAATCTGTTCAAAGTTTCTTAAACAGTTGACCAAAGCAGTTATTCCTTCAAACGTTCTGTTGTTTATTCACGATCATTTATGTCTATTCTTACTCTGGGTATACAGAATGCTAATCTGACATCACTCAAGTCTGTACTCATTCCCCAACAGAAAACTCCTATGTATGTAAGTGTATGCAGCTAGTCTTTGATCCATGGCAGCTTCAGGCAACGGGCAATAAAACTACTTCTAAAGGCAGGAGTGTCACTGACTTGCCTTATAGCTATTCGCTTCACCTCCTCTGACAGACTTATGGCTCTTCTCTCCACCACCCTGACTTCACAGTCTTCATGTCCCTCACTATAAGGCAGTTCAAAGTAATATTTAGTATTCTAATATTCTGAATATGGTTATAGGCTCAGTCCTTATTAGAAGACTGCTGGGGATACATATCAAATTATATGGAAATATATTACGTGGAAAAAATGCAAAACAGCATCCCCATCCATTCGTTGTCTGATATTGATCAGTAAATTTGTTCCTTATCCTTAGAAGCTTTCTTACTCTTTACAACTATTTGAAGAAATGATTCTTAAGTATTTCAGGCTCTTGCATAAAATGAAAAACAAATGGCATTGCAACTTTTTCTTACATAAATAAACTTTCCTGCAGGACTTGTGTAACTGAAACACAATCGAAGTATCCAAGCCTGACCACTCACACTGCTCTATCAGACAGATGGTTTTGTGTTCATCTAAATGAAAGACTTCACTCAGCTCAGTTAGAATCATAAAAATATAGTCTATTCAATATCTTCCGCATTGTTTATTTTAATATCCAAAGGCTTTCAGAAGTTTAGGGCAATAAAATTATTGAAAGTCTCGGCTGGGTTGAGCCAAAGAGATTAGTCTATTCAGGTTATGAGTTGAGGCAGAGACAATTAGACATGAAAAAGTCCAAGTTTAAATTTAACAAACTACAACAGATCTTGTGGACCATTCCTGTCATGTCTATCAATGTATGAATGTCTGAATGCAAAGAAAGATTGAATGTGAAGTCTAATTTATGTTGAACAGATATTGTCGATCAAAGCTAAGTGTGCATTAAGTTTTCCATGAGGAGAGATTTGACAAAGGAAACAGTACATTTCTGCAGTGTATTTCGTGAAAGGAAGAGATCAATGCAATCATTTTTTTAATTTGCTTTTGAAATGCTTAAATATTTTTTGTGAATATGTAAACGGTGGTTTCATCTTTGATCTTTAAGAAGGAATGTGTGATCACCTAAACTATAATTTACAGGCCGAAAATATATGTTCACCACATTTATGGATTCTTTTTTTTTAAAATAGCTAAATATAGCTTGGCGATGTATTGGTTAAAAATTGAGAAATTTCATTCAGTATTTAAAATAACAAAACACTTTGATGAATCATAAGATGGATAGCTTGATTATTCATTGAAGTCAAGGAAGATATTTTTAGACATACTTGTCTCTTTTGCAAATGATTACTCATGTTAAACTTACTTATATGGGACTTTCCAAAATAATTTGTAGAAGATACTTTTATATATTGTCTGGATTTTTTCTTTTGTCTAAGAATGTTGAAATTTGTACTATCTTTAAATGTCTCTCCTGTACTCTTTCAGGATTCAACAGTAGAAAAATATCTGGCTTTGAATCCAAGTCCAAGCAAGATTCTGTTATTCCAATGCGACACATGATTCAAGAATGGAGCAAGAGTGACACAGCGACAGTGGGAGTTTTGATCCAAGCGCTGAAAAATATTGGTCGTCTTGATGTGTTACGAAGCATGCACATCGCGGATTCCACTGAACTCCAACCGTTGAATATGAACAATCCTCAGCATTTTGTGTTATAGCTGGAAACATGGGGGATGTTTGCAATATCACCAAGATCTCTTCTGGACCTGTGCTGCTTGGACATTTTGTCAGTTCAAAGGAGATCAGTTCATAACAGATAACAATGACAGTTGAATTGTTGTGTTATAGATTCCTCACACTGAGCAAAAATAATTTATTTCTATTTGAGACAGTAGTTCTATAAGTGATGCTGCTCATTAACAGGTGTCCCTTTACCAGCACTTGTTTTTTCAATTATGGTGTGGTTTTCTTACCCTGGTGAAAACTTTTGATACCATTTTTCAGTGTTATTTGAAAAACATTTTCAGTCCATAGCATGTTTTATAAGAGTAAATGTTAACAAAATTCACATGGTCATTTTGATATATGTGAACTGATATTGACATTCTCTGATATGAACTGATCTACTGTGAAGATAATGTATTCATATATGTGATATCTTACCACTGGAATATAATTCCATTATATGACATTTGTTGTGCTGAATACAAGGTGGGCTCGCACATGACAGTGAGAGAAGACACCTGCTTGTCTGATTGAAAATCTTGTCAAGGACGTACAAGACTGAATGGAACAACGTTGTGATAATAGAATTATACAGTGACAGCTGAAATACGATGTATATATATGTATATCACTGTCGTTATGTCTTCATGTAATAACATAGTTATCTCGTGTTGACAAAAAAAAGTTGCCTTTAAAAGGACATTTTCACATTTCAGCATATGGCACCAACGTCTTGAATTACAGAACTTTGTGACTTGCATTCTTTGGATTAATGTGAATGTTACATGAATCTCATCATTGTGATGGCATTTTTCGTCAAGACTTTGTGATATAGCGACATTGAGATTGATGTAAATATTTCAAAACATTTCTGTGTGGGAATATTGTCATTGCTTATGATGTCATTTTGACATGCATGGGTACTTAATGACGTCATATTCTTTGCGATGTCTGTATAAATATGGCAATGTGCCACCATTTGATGAAAATGAGGTTTGATATATATGATATCCATACATGTGATAAGAACAGACATTCTACCTTTTCATCTCCTCTTTACTGTTACCAGAACAGGGTGCAGTCTTTCATTCCTCCATTCCATCTTCACATTTACTGGTACCAAGAGAATTTCAAATTTGTGAATCTGTGTGCCTTTAAAAATTATCTTATTGTTCAAAAGATACAATCGACATTATTCTTTTACCTTTGATTTTGTAGAGGACATTGTGATTGTAAACTAATCACAAGATAGAATTCAGTGCATAAGATTTGGAGATTATGTTCATGTACTTTTGGTACCTTCATCTCAGAAACAAGGCTGCATATTTTCATCTGATATAGAGTAAAAGTCTGCCAGTGGTGTCTTCCTGTGACATTAAATAATTGTTTGTACCTTGCCGTCTCGTTGGTCACTGTCTGTGTATACTATATGTCTTTATCCAAGTCACTTTGATGTCGAGACACATGTATGGACATGATAAGATATCAGATCATTACCAAGACATAATCAGTTTTAACAACACAAGGGTATTTCTTGTTATGCAGCACACTTTATTCAAAGTCAGAGGTACTCTGGAGAGCATTCATCCAAAGTGACCATCCAGTTCAGATGTGGCTAAATATCTTCATGCTCATGGCAAAATACAATTTTGTTCATTTCTCTGTTTTCTCAGGTGGCCTAAAATATTCAATTGGATTCAAATCAAAGTTGGTATGGGAACGAAGACAGGTTGTAAATAGCTGTCTGTTTCAAGATCAAAGGCTGTGTTATATGCTCAATGATTGGTTTATACTCAAGGGTTCAGTAATCAAATCTGCAGCAATTTGTATCTTTAATTTCTCTCAGGTACTGTGTCATGAGACACAAAAATGAAATAACAAGAAAGTGAAATGAAAATGTAATGACCATTGCAAGCGGAGTGCCTGAATGAAAGTGTTTTTAGCTAAGGTTGTTCCTTAGCAGTTATTTAAAATGTCAGTGTGTTTAGACCTATAGCACAGTTGTTATTCAAACTGACCTGGATCAGATGTCAGTTGTGTCATAAACACAAATGTATCTTATCTAATGAATCAAATCCTTTCATATTTGTTTCAAGCATTTATCACTATTTTGAGAATGTGTTCACCAAGATACCCTAAACTGGACATCATGACATTGTTTATAGTGACTCATTGTATTACACCATTTTTCAGAAGGAATATTTATGTATTTGATTACTATAATGGATTGTATGAGATAATAAAATCCTCATCATAAGTATCATGTGTTGTTGTATACAGTGTGATGGATTACAAGATAACTTAATAGATCCAGACAAAAGAACCTCAATAACTTCTAGAATCTAAATGATTCAGACCACATCAAACTAAACTCTGGAATTTTGTTTCTCTGGCTGCACAGAAAAGGAAAACAAATGGACATTTTGATAATGAACAGATCCACATAAATCACATCAATACGGTTATTGACCACTTATAGTGTAGTTATATGTACATTTTAAAGGGAATAAAAAGTTAAATGAAGAATTTAAATGCCCCTTTGGTAACTCAAGTGTGAATTGGTGGATGATACTTTTGCTCAACGATTTTCTGCTAATTTAAGAAACATGACTCATTACCACCATAAATGTATAAACGTAGTTTTGAAGCAGCTTAATATGAGCTGTTGAATTCACATAGAAAAGCAGTCCCACGGCTCTCCTGCCCACAAATACTTTCATTTCTCTCTTACATTGTACTTTAATCTCTACGCAAATGAGTGAGTGAGTGAGGTTTGTTTTACGCCGTGTTTAGCAATGTTCCAGCAATATCACGGCGGGGAACTCCAGAAATGGGCTTCACACATTGTACCCATGTGGGGAATCGAACCCGGGTCTTCGGCGTAACGAGCAAATGCTTTAGCCACTAGGCTACCCCACCGCCCCTTCAGCAAAAGAACACTATTCCATTAGTTCAAATGTACGCACTGTGATTTGTATGGAGGTATGCCACAAACATCCTGAAAAAGTCCCAAAAGGTACATAGCTTAAGAAATTTGGAGTTCAATATTACCTGTATATTATACACCAAATTGTTGTTATATTTCATTCAAACTACATTTACTCTTAAGTAACCCACTGAATCATATCAAAATGTCAGTTAACTTAAGACTCAAGGAAATGGAAACTGTTGCAATAATAGCTGCAATAATATAAGAATGTCATTACCACGGCGTAAAAACATTATGGAATCATTCAATCGACTCTGCTTTAAGCATAGTTCTTATAATCATTGAATGATCTTTGTCGTTATTTATTTACTGTTAATTAATATGAGAATCATTAACACCAAGCCAACTGTCACGGCAATTGTTGTTAATCATCCAATGTCTTCAAAAAAAGATGATGAATAGAGACAATCAATATTTTGTTACAAAACTGCAAGGTGCTGATTTATTCTGTAAGTTAAGATTTATCAAATGTGACAAACAAACTAGGAACTACTAGCGTGAAGCTGTCATGAGCCAACATGGAACCTGAAAACTGAGCTCGGAATGGTAATTAAAACTGGTTGTCAAAACCACCATTTTTCTCCATAGTCATAATCCTGCATACAAATGATAGCTTAAGACTTAATTGAGCCTGTGCAATCCTATTTTTGCTATTACCAATACGACGGCTAGGATGTCAGCCTCCTAATCTGTTAAAGATTCCAGAATTACGACATTATCCCTAAAGAATAACTAATTTCATAATGATTTACAAACCATCACAGCTACTACTCTTCCTATTTCCATGACATTTCTTTTTGTCTAATAATAACAACACTTAATTATTTGTTAGCTGAGCAGATTAAATACATTAATGTCTTTTTTTGCTAAATCTGATATAAATTTGTAGAAAGAATTCCTCAATTTGAATGTGAAAAAAAGTCTGTGGGTGTTTTTTTCCTCATGGCTACACAAGAAGAGTGCTTTATGGTGCAGATAATCATTTGAATGCGAACACCATGATATGGTGAAGATCACGAATTATGAGTGCTTGTTTCTCAAGGGACATGTTTATATTCTAATTTTTGTTCCAATAATTTTTCCACGTCATTAAATTCATTTGAAGTGGGCATATGTCAGAATTATCGTGCAGGGTCATTTTTCAGATTGAATCAATCTGTCTCACATTTCCTTATGAAGATTATGTTAGGAATAATTAATAATTATAATAGCTGTGACCATATCCATCATAACCGTTCATAGTTGTGTTGAAGGTGGGTTTCAGTTTAAATCAAATTCTACAACCAGTTTATTAAGAAGATATATAGAGAGTTCGGCCATATTTCAGCCGTAAAACCACGAATAAACTTTTACTGACGTTCAACATATTTCAATCACTATGAAGCTAAACAAAATATCAAAGAAATTCGTTTTTACGAACATGTGGGAAATATGACGAGCTAGGCTACCCCACCGCCCCTCCTCTGTGGAATACCAATAGAGTGAATTTTAGATGTGTTGATCTGAAGGTATTAAAATATTAAACGTTTATCCAAATACAATATCGACGACATGAGTCAAATGCATTTTGGATAGAGAAAAACAAGTGTTGTTACTGAAGATGCAAACGAACGTACATGTTCAAACACATGCACGCACGCACGCACGCACGCACGCACGCACGCGCGGACACACACACGAAGATGAATTCGTCGCGCTCCAACATTGCTTTGTCTTAATGCCGCATGTACTAACTATGTACTGAATGGTTCAATTATACAACAAAGCTTATTACACAACAAAGACCAAATGCCATATATATCTCGGCATTAACACTCATTAATTGCAAACAACATCACACTCCCAAACATAAATAACGACTTGATAATTGGAAACCATAGTACTTATGATATGGACCCTTCATGTTCACAAAATGACAACGTTATAAATATAAAACGTTATTTTCAGAAAATAATTATCCTAGATTATCTGCTTTACAGATTCAAATGGGCAAAATCTTAGTGAAAATGAAGATGTTATTGACGAACTCATGTGTGTGTGCGTGCGTGCGTGTCCGTGCGTGTTTCTTCACCACAAATTTATGCATTGTGTATCAAATGACACAGTGCATAAATTTCTAACTTGGTAATTATTGCAGTTGTCCAAAATGATTTTCTTTGTTTTGTATGTTTTAAAAATCACACAAGAATCCAGCCAGCACTAATTGAAGTGTTTGAGCTTTTCTTCAAGTGTTATGTTCCACAGACCATGAGGTGACTGACGGACAACGCGCCATCGGGGAGATTTCACTCATGATATAACATACACAGTGAACTTTCATTTGTGAATTAAATGGACAGATTGAAGCACAGATATTTTGTTATGTGTTTCTGTTACATTTATTACAGCATCTTGGGATTGTCTTCAAATATCAACCATGCACAATAAAAAAAATTTAAAAGTTCATATTATGACATAACTAAAATATTGTGGCAGATTTGCACGAATATACACATGTACATGCCTGTTGGTCTATAAAGGGCTGACTGAAAAGTTAATAACTATATATAATAACTATTAGTTGTTTGCAATTTTCCTTTCTATTCATCACAATAATCTGCAAGGTATAAAAAGCCATTCACAGCACGAATGACGCTATCACCATTTGCATAATGCTTGCCAGACACTTCTTTCTTCATGTTTGGGGCGAGGTGGAAATCTGACGGTGCCAAATCTAGCGAATGCAGGGGAAGTTCAGTGAGTTCAAACCAACAGTCATGCATTGCAGCCAGTGTATCAACAACCTTGTACACAGGTACATTATCCTTGTCCAGGAACACACCAGTTTTCCACTCCGGTTAGTCTTGATATTCCCAAACCATTGCCGGTGTCCCTTTCTGAACAATGGCAAGGGAAGATACCCCCTCCATTGGCATCACAACAGGGATGGCTGTTGAAGTTAGCCCTTCTAGTTGAAGATAATCTATGCCAGCTGGGTTGCCAATTTTGTTCCATTTTAAAAAGAAAGAATACCTGGTTACTTTTATGATTCCAGAATGATGTTGTCCGGCCGCGTATCTGGTTACTGTACTTTATAACCTGACGTACAAAAGAAAGTACTCACCTGGTGTTTTGGGATTATTTGAAAAGTATTGTGAATTTGACTGGCAACTTCGCAATTGGGCACGATATCTGTGGTGTTTTGGCAACATATTAGGAAAGTCTGTGACTTATATATCACTGTAAAAACTCTTTTCAAAACATTTACGTCGCTTTTTGGAAAGTAATCCAAAAACCCCGGGTGTATACTTTCTTTTGTAAGTCAGTTTACATGCGAACGGTTTAGGGTTTACTAGGCTTGGAACCTTTCAGCCACTCTCAGGTAGTAATCTGGATCAAATCAAGGTTGCGATCCTTGAGTAAAATTGAACATTTGAGAAAATACTTTAAAAAACACCATCACAACCTATAACGATTTCAGTATTCCTTACAGTGGCCCGTGAGAGATTCCTTGTGAATTCCACTTTGTACTGACTTCTGACTTATGTAAGATGGGTTGTTATAAACAATCTTCCATAGTGTATCAGAGCGGTGTATAAACAATCGAGTCTGGTGGAGGGCACGCAGTCAGCCTCATGGCAACACCGGTTTTTAGTCGACTTTACGGAAAACATGGCAATATAATAACTATAAGCATCATTTCTATCATTATGAATAATTCAGGGTGCGTTGAACGTCGTACTGAACGGGAGTGGACTGAAAAGGATTGGGTGACCAGACTCCGTGACCTGGTACTTTCGTGTCAACGTCCCTCGACGGCGAATGACATTGTTCATAATATATATCACAGGTTCGGCTGGTCCAGGCTTACAACACAGTAATACGGCTGAAAACTGCCAAGTCTTCTAACGTTGACTTTTGCTCATTGTTTCAGTAGGGGTAGTGTGGAAGCCTAGTGGATAAGGAGTTCGCTCGTCGAATATATCAGTGAATCTCATTTCTGGTGTCCCCCCGTCGTAATGTTGCTAAAAGCATTGTAAAACCACACTCACTCGTGTTTTCAGGAAATGTGTGAGTTCTATGCCGCACTCAGACATATTCCAGCTATATGGGGGCGGTCTGTAAATAATCGAGCCTGGACCTGACAATCCAGTGATCAACAGCATGAGCATCGATCTATGTGTCAACCAAGTCCGCGAGCTTGACCACCCGATCCCGTCCGTCGCCTCTTACGACAAGCATAGGTTACTGAATCTTCCCGGATCTTCACGGGTCTTTTCAGGAAATGATTTTGCTGGTCCAAACTCGATTATTTGTAGACCTTTGTCATTCAGCTGTCTGTATAGTTTGTATAATCGGCATTACAATCCTTTCGCTCGTTCACTCTACCGCCGATACCCAAAACTGTCAAACTAAACACACACACACATCTGCAAAATGGGCGGAGCAGTAGCCTTAATGGCATTTCCAGATTAAGACGATTATACACGTACAATGTCGAGTACTTTTTCAGGATATACCTTCAATAATGGATGAACGAGAAGCCCGCGATATAACATCTAGTGAAATAAAACATCTTCAGCGATAAAGTTTCCTCTTACAGACAAAAACAAAGATGAAACAGATGGAACGGTCGGTTATCATAAGCTGATATATAAAAACTTCAAAGAAAGTCAGTAGTGTGCAATGGCGGTAGTTGTAATTTGTAATCGTTAACACATGTCCGTTTTCAATCTTCGCCCGAGATATTTCCCTGTTTTAGAGAACTTCAGACGTCGTAACACTTGACAGCAGCTATCCCCAAATGACGACCTGACTAGCAACTAATACAGACCAACATTTTTTAACGTCAATCCTACTTTTGACCACTTCGTTTTGTTTTCCCAGTTGAATATGTATTTTCCAGTTGTCTTCCTTTGAAAAGAACAAAGCCCAATACGAACAATTTCCATCAGAGCATAATGGCGATTATTTCGACAAATTGTCCTCTCGGACTGCGTTAGAGACTCAATTAGCTGCATATGATCTTTGCTTGAATTCCCTATGCTCAAATTTCGTTGGCTATATTGTATTTATTACACTATGATAAAAAGATATAATTCTCTAATGCTAATATCAGCCATTACAATAGAGGAAACATCCATGGCATTAAGTGGGTGTTGACATTAGACTGACAATAAATGCTACTTTTTAACATACGGTTCATAAATAATTTCTTTTGAAAAGAAAATAGTTATGGATGTATTTGTCTTTGAAGACAAAGCTGATATTTATATGGGTGTCGGTCATTGCGCTGTAATCACATAACGTTATGGCAGTGCTCAAGAATTAGCATTTATAGTGAGTGAAAATCGTTTCGTAAAAACTACTTGGCTTTGAAAATTGAAGCAAATAAACATTTTGGCAAATTAAGTTATTAGCTGTTGCATAAATGGAAATTGTTACAACGGAAATAAAAGCAGATGTTGTTGTGTTTTTTCGGAAACGAATAAGATAAACAAAATCTATGGTAATTGTCTACTCTCTTTTTCAGCAGCTCCCCTTTGTTGTAGATGAGAAGATGTAGAAATTGGTCCTGAGAGTAAAATTCTTCCTCAAAGTGTCTTCACAGAATCTTTCCCATGGGTCTCCATGTTGTCTATGCTAATAGGTGCTAGCCATTAGAATTCATGCAAGCGATAATCATTGTTCCTGAACTAAAGCGACACCTACAATGGCAAGCCCATTTCGGACTATCGACAATATTCACAGAATATTCCACCAAAAATGCCTAACACCTTGTCTTGACGAGCGTATTGAAAAATAAAACAGTTTCATTAGATGTAAGTTGCCCTTTCATGGTATGTAAATAAAAAGTGATATTGTTAGGTGTTATTGTGATATTGCTGGAATATTGCTGAAAGCAGTGCAAAAGCTGTACTCGCCGACGTAATTCATGCTGTCATGTCTTACCGTCATAGTCAGTGAGTTGAACTGTTTCATTTACAACAAAAGGAGAACTATTGCTGACTTTGTTAAAACCAATCAGCATGGGTATGTTGACAGTAAACCGAGAACCATCACCGGGACGACAGTTGGATTTGAACTCTGATGATCAAATGTGAGCAAAGAAATGTTCGTTATCCATGCGAGGGAAGCATTGCAGAGCTGTCTGACTGCTATTTTATCCTTAGTCTCAATGCTTGCATTGCTATCTGGATAGTCTGTCATAAAGACCCTGAAACAAATATACCATGCAGCCCATGCAAGTCTAGAATGTGGGGACAGGGGCGTAGCTACCATCATAAAAAAAGCCCGGGCTTACACATGATCGTTGCTAAAAAGGTTGGACAAGACCTCAATGCTATCGAAACATATTTAGCTTTGCAACCTATCGGGCTTACACGAAAAACATTGGCTTGCTACACGCCTGGTGGCAAGTCTAGATTACCGCAGAAAGTCTCTGGGCTCCTTTTTATTGTATCTATAACTTTAATCTGAAAACTTATATTTTCTGTAAAATATGTTCATTTCAGAAACTAGCTGTTTGTCTACTATCTGGACACAATCGGCTGTTTCTTATTTGCATATACGGAACGGGCGAAGTTTGCAGGAAGCTTTCACTGCTGTTGACTGTGGAATCGTGAAGATTCGGGTTTGAATTGGTCATCAGCAACCCATGCTTGTCGTAAGAGGCTCACTCACCTGGCTGATGGATGTCATATATATTTGCTTAGATCGACGTTCGAGTCAGACGCTAGATTGTCTGGCCAAGACTAGCATATGTACACACAGCTGTTAAAAGCTGACATTTTGCAGAGTGTAATTATTATGAAATAAATCAAATCAATGCCCTGTAAAACAATCCAACGTGAACTAGAGAAACAGGTGGTAGATCGTGTAAGCACTAACCAGTGTGCGAAATTGCCACTGGCCCGCTAGCCCGTCAGTTGTAGTTACTATCCAGTCGGCCAGTAATCTCCACAGTTACAGGCCCGACTTGCTAGTGAATTTTCATGGGGTCATTTTGTAAATATATCACTCTCTCCGACTTGTTCAGTTATAATACACTTGCATGATGCAAGATGCAAGATTATGTCCTGAAAAAAATGTTCATCATATTATCAGCTTAATGATGAAACCCGTGTCATGCTGTCAATATCTTATTCTCATCTATTTGTGTAATCTTTTGCTTAGTTTCTACATTCAAATTTCGGGCTAGTGAATTATTTTGTGGGCTATTAACTTTCAGGCATAGCTATCCCGACTGGCTATCAAAATTTGGAAACGATTTCAAACACTGGCACTAACACGCCATTCCGGATGTTGGATCCTCATCATCGTACACACGTGGCCTTGACATCAAGATCGGACACTGGTTCTACTGTGCATGTAGCCTAGTGGTTAAAGCGTTCGCTCGTCACATGAAAAACCCAGGTTCGATTCCTCACGAGAGTACAATTAGACTAACGCTTACTCTCTGAATACATGTCATTTTGATAGAAACAAATAATTCTTTTTAAATTGAAAAACAGCCACAGTGGGATGGGAGATCCTGAACCCGGGGAAATCTAGACTTGCTTCATTTAGGGCTTTAGCATTGCAGAAAGGGCTGGGCAGAAGGGGAAATAATGTGGTTCAGGGACTGTGCGACAGACAAGGGTACAATGTGTGAAGCCCACTTCTAGTGTCCCTGTCGTGATATTGCTGGAATATTGCTAAAAGCGGCGTAAAGCTAAACTCACCCACTCACTCACTATTGTACCTGCAATGTCATTAACGCCAAGTATCTGATATGGATCTTTACTCCAGTATGACATTAACTTAACTCCCTGGGGACCCAGTGAATTCAGGTAGTGAGAGAGTTCAGTTTTACGCCGCTTTTAGCAATATAAGCAATATCACAGCGGGGGACAACAGAAATGGGCTTCACACATTGCAACCATGTGGAGAATCGAACCCAGGTCTTAGGCTTGACGAACGAACGCTTTAACCACCAGACTACCCCACAACCCCTGAATTCTGGTAGATATCAACATGTTTCACATAATAGATGACCGAACACCAGTCACACATGCTACGATTCAAAAGGGATTCCTCCTGAGGTCAGTAACATGCCGCCTTTGATGTTGGGTGTACTTTTTGTAAGTCTGTAGTCTTTGAAAGCCAAAAGAATTATTACTTTGATCAAAGCTGACAGCTGTCACGTGTACGAAGTACAAAGTATGTTTTACAGCAGCTGCCCCTTGTTGATTCAATGACTTCAAGTCTATCTGTTATCATGGGCTGTGTGAAACCAACAATCATCAATGCATTTGTTTCATCAAATAAGGGGGACATTTACAGAGGAAAACAAATTTAATTCAAAATATTTAAGCCTTGTAAATCATATACAAAAACTGACACATAGCAACTCGACTTTTTGATATTCCAAATCTTACAACTCTTTTGGATTTGATTTCTTATGAATATCGAGAGGGTTTTCTCGTTTGATTTCGTTTGGAATTGCAAACAAATCCAAGTTGATGCCTTGTGCAAACATTCAGGCGAGAGATGACAGAGATTCATGACCAATTTACAGCAGAAATGACTGGGATAAACGGAAATTTAATAATAGCTTTTTCATTTTGTGACACAAAAAATGAACCAGCATATTCAATGTTCTCTTACAAATGTTTTGCCTCTTTAGCCTGACTCAATGTTTCATCCCCTTTTCAGATATCATTTTATAATTAAAAAATAGATTGGAGTGAGTAGGTGTGTTCGGTTCAACTTCACGTTTACATTATTAAAGCTGTGTCAGGGATGGGATACCTTGGGTGTGAGTTCACCAAATCCCACTGTTTCTTATAAGGCCTTAAACTTACCCCTGACAGACAACGTTTCTTATGCGGCGATGGGGTAGTCTAAAGCGGATCTCTGTCGATTTTATTTCAGATTGATCAATTCAAATCCCCCATTCGATGACACAATATTAAGTTTACAGCTGAAAATAGATTTTCGTTGCCATCTCTTAGAATGAACCAACGAACCAACAGATTTAGATGACATTTTCAGAAAATTGCATTACATTCCTTTCCTTCATATTGTCATGAAAATATCAGTCATTGCAGTGTTAAACATAGGCGGATCCAGGGGATGTTGGGTGCACGCCCCTTTTGTCCTGAAAGTTTGTTCAGTGGCCATTGAAACTCGGGTGAGTACAACCCCCCCTCCCCCTTTCATTAAAATACTGCATCCGACCCTAAACAATATTTACTGAAATACTCCAATTATGAGCAAATAAGGTATATTTGGTAAGTTTTACTTTTCTATTAGGGGCGGTGGGGTAGCCTAGTGGTTAAAGCGTTTGCTTGTCACTTTGACAACCCGGGTTCGATTCTCAACATGGGTACAATGTTTGAAACCCATTTCCGGTGTTCCCCATCATTATATTGTTAGAATATTGCTAAAAGCAGTTTAAAACTTAACTCGCTCACTGTACCTATAAGGCCTCTTGACTTACCCTCAACTGACTGATTGTTAATAGGCCGCTAGATCTGACCCTGACAGTGTGTCCCACAAGGCTTCTAGCTTCTTAACTGATTCCTTAATAAGGAGAGACACTTTCCAGCAAGGGATCCCGCTCTAGCTAGATTTCACACTGACAGTTTCCTACGTAACTTAAAGCTTAACCTCTTACTGACTAAGAGCTTACGTTTTTGTCTTCATGTAAGAAACATCTAGAATGTGGACTTATTGGTTGGTTGGTTGTTGAACGCCGTACTCAACAATATTCCAGCTATATGGCGGCGGTCTATAAATAATGGAGTCTGGACAAGGCAATCCAGTGATCAACAGCATGAGCATCAATCTAAGCAATTGGGATACGATGACATCTGACCACCCGATCCGATAAGCATGGGTTGCTGAAGACCAATTCTAACCCGGATCTTCACAGGTATCTTTTCATGTAATAAACATCTTAAATGTGGATTAAGGTTCTGGTGAGGTTCTGTGACATCTTTTCACACAATCAACATAAAAGATTGATTACCCTATCGACAGTTGGTTTGCTTGGCCTACACCTATCAGAGGCTGTTGTAAACATGAAAACGGATCCAACAAGATAGAGGTGAGATGAGGTGAGGTGAAATTGGGTTAAACGTCGTGCTTGAGAATATTTCGATCATATGACGACGTGCATGCATGTGTATGTGTATGTGCGGCTGCTTGTACTAGCCCAGACTGAAGCTAGCCCACTGAGGTACCATTCCGCAGTGAAGCATGAATACCCCACTCAGACACATTATACTGACTCCGAGCCGACCAGTCCTTGTTGTACCCATTAATGCCGAGCGCGAGGCAGGGACCAACAAGTACCATATTTTAACGTCTTTTGGCCAACAAGATAGAGATTTGTCATAGTGACAGTGTGCGAAATAGCCACTGGCCCGCTAGCCTGTGGCTAGTAAAAATCCAATCGGGCCAGTAAATTCCCAGTCAATGGCCCGATTGGCTAGTGGATTTTCATGGGGTCATTTCGTAAATATATCACTCTTTCGGACCTATTAAGTTATAATACAATTTTGAATCATGCAAGATTGTGGCCTGATAAAATGATCATAATATTAGTATCTTAATGATGAAACCCTTGTCTACATTGAAATTTCGGACTAGCGAATTAATCTGTGGGCTAATAACTTTCAAGCAGACCTAGCCCGACTGGCTAGCAAAATTTGGAAACTATTTCTCACACTGCATAGTAATACCAATTACAAAATACACAACAAAACAATGACACATACATTTTATTGAAAATAGTGTACATTTTAGTTTTAAAAGTATATAGTTTACATCATATGCCAAATATGTGATAAGGCTGAACAGTGAACACACACACAACTGGATGTATATCATTAATGTTTTCTCTCTTGCACTTTTAGTAATTACATGTGTAGGTAAATGTTTTCTAAAGCTAAGGAAAATCAACTGTAAACAATATTTCATTGTCAATCATGACTGAAGGTGAATCATTCTCTGCACTGAATTATCTTTACTATTGGTAAAAGTATTTTTTTCCAAAGAAACAAGTTTTGTGTAGAAGGTATGTAGTTAATACTATATCTGGAAAACAAAATGTTATGAGTCTTGACACTTCATGTTAAACCTTGGGCACAAAAAATATTTAATGGAAAGAATTTGTATTTCTAAGACTGAAAAAGATGTTTTGCTTTTTATTAGGCCACTAGCGAGATAGGTATTATCTTGTTTTATGCTACTACTGAAATAGGTGTTGTGTTTTATATTACTAGCAAAATAGGTGTTATCTTGTTTAACAATAGGAATAACAATATTCCTTAAGAAGGATGGAGGGTTTTCATTTGCCTGGTACCGACTAATAAATTTCATCAAATATAAAACAACCATATTAAGTGAGGATTGAATATTGCTCAATGACAAGGCCTCTACAAGTTTTGCCTTATTACTCTATTAGCTGTGACATGATACTAGTCAGAAACGTTCACAAAATTCAATATAAATTTGCACATCTTACAAATTCTTTCCAGATCACAACTAAACGGATCCCAATTAACATTTATATGCAATCCTTATATTTGTCATAACCAAGTTAAATCTATGGTGCGTTTATAACAGCCCGTTCATCATAATACACAATATAAACAATTATTCAACATGACCCTAGATTACATCAACTCGGCAAATTAGACAATATTCCCAAGTTTAAAGCACAGACTGCGATGTTACTGATGTTTCAACCTTTTTATATAGATAAATCACTTTTATAATAACAGATACAACGCTTAGATTTATTCCACCATTAAAAACCCAAGTTAATTGTATTCTAATGGAAGACATCTATACTAAATACTGTACTATATAATTTCTAAAACTCTCTTCCCAAATATGATAATAGATATAAACTAGTAAAGTCTGTACAATCACTTTACAAAACTGATTCAATCCCAAATGGAGTAAAGAAACAGAAAAAATGTAGAAATATTGAAATTGAAAACAATTCTTGAAAGTCTATTAAATAACTTTTACAAGTATATCCATGAGAACATCTTAGGTCAGGCAGGAAAACATTCTAACAGTTCTTAACAAAAACGCCAACAAATATTTCAGGTGTACAGTTAACATGACAATATTTTGCCATCCAGGTTTTAGAAAACTAGAATCAGGCACTGACAATCTGGAGGGAGTTACACAATGCATAAATTACACAACTTTGTAAGGTAAATTTCAATATATCACATCTCATTTTTCAAAATATACTCTTCATAAAAATAATGTGACAGCACACTGTGTTATTTGGTGCATAGGTCAGAGTGCAAAGGTCACTAAGTTCACACTGGCTTATGATGTCATTATTAGTGTATGTACAAATCCATAAGGAATGCTTTAGAAGTGATCACAAATAATTTACATTTTGATTCTAAGGTATATTCTACCAATGAACTAATTAACTAATTCTAGCTGCTGCCTAACAAGCATAGTAATGATGAAGTCCTCACGAATTGAAAATACATTAACTAGTAAGTTGATATGAAAACTCAAAGAAAGAACTTCTAAACATTTTTTTTTTCAAATTCAAAAATGGTATCTTGTCAGAAAAAATATTTATAAGCATATAAAAATTACTGACAGTGGGCATACAGTTTTATATGCTAAGACATGTTGGACAGTACTGTGTTGGTAATCTTGTCGGGTTATTTCATCCAAGGGTGCAAGGCACTATTGACAAGATATACTATATACACAGTTGCTGCCTGTACCCCCTTACCCATCTTATACAAAGGGAGGGACAAAGTAAAACCGACAGACTCTGTTGTAGATAGGACTTAATTTTTGGAGCTTTGCAATCATTAATCAGCTCTACAGCAGTGAAACTCCAAAACAATAATCAACTCCATATATGATAATTACAACACAACATTCTTATAATGCACCAACTGTTGTTCAAAATGATTGATAACAATAAATGGTTGAAAAGAAATATACTTGAATTCTATTGAGCATACTAATACTATGTAAAACAAATCACAAAACGGCAGGAATATGAAATCTGCCTGGGCCAGGTGTTCCGAGGAATCAAAGTTTATGCCACCGGACATTATCTACAGATATCTCCGATTCTGGCATTACATTCAGGTCCTATGCTTCAACCAGTAACAGAAGAACAAATAATTTTTGTTCTCACTTCAAACTGTATCAATCACAACTGTAGATTAGGCCTAAAAAATAAATGTTGTGGTTCGGATTACCCGACCGACCCTTGAATTCTGGTGCCGACTCTATATTTTTAAGTGGCATGAATAAAATAAGCTTTCAGATACCACTGTTACTTCCCCAGCACCATTAGTTATTCTGATAGAGAAAGTCGACATGATGGCCACAAGCTTGATTGAATAAACAATTACACATTGATAAATGTGTTATTAGTTTGTACTTTCCTGTAAAAAAACGTAAAAAAATAAATAAAATCCTACCTACCTACCCTAAATATTACAGAATTGTAATCGAAACCACAACCTTTATTTATTTGGCCTTAACAAACTAATATTGTCATACCAGACAGAATACCTTACAAAGTTTTCATTTTGCTTCACCTGTCACACCAAAGCCCGTTGGAATGACCTGCATCTATTGTGTCTGTGTGTATTACATGACAAGAATCTGGAATGATTAACATGGCAGCAGTGGCTATACAGTATGACAATGATACATCTGTACATCAACAACAACAACAATTATACACGGATCCCACAGGAAATATTGCTGATTACACAATTCTGCTACTAAGAGCAGTTCAGGATTTGATAAAGGCATAATATGGAACAATTACACATAATTATCCAATTAGGCGTGGCCATTGCTTCTTGTATAACAGAATAATATAACAAAAAGTTCTTTTGTTTCCTTCCCCGTTTCATCAACAGGCATTTTCAAAATGATACACTGTTATGAGTTAGTACCAATTATATTTTCTATTTTTTTTATTACATCTGCATACAAACGTTATTTCTTACTCCAGTTCATATTGGCCCACATATGCAAAACAAATATTTCTCAAATGCACCTACACACAGTCCTAATTAATTCTACCGTACCATTCAATCCTATCATTAAACTGATTAAAATGACAGTGACAGAAAACTGAACAAATACATCAACAAATATTGGATTACTCATTTTAAGCAAGGAGAAGCACTGCTGATCATTCTATATATTGTCTTGCAGAGTAAGGGAAGTAACTCTTGCATGCATTAAGGACTATACAGAAGTCTTAGTTATTTGCTACAGATACCAAAATGAGCAAAAATCAATGTTTGAAGTTTTATTGTGAAATACATTAAATAATACCCATAAATATGAAGTATAGCCAATATACTAAAAAAAAATTGGTTATTTTTCATGAACCTCTCATCTCTATCTTATCAAATATTTCGCATATTTGTATGTTAATCCTTAGCACAAGTGCCAACAAATATGAAAGCATCATGTAAATAGTTGGTACGAACAAACAGGGTTGAAAAATGTGTTTTGCTGCAAGTAAGTACAAGTGTCTCACACCTAAGAACGCAGGGTAAGACTTAGCTTGGAAATTCTATTTTCATCAATTAGAAAGGAACGCCATAACACACGCACTTTCAGTAACTAACAATATCGGTGAGAAAATAGTAGGTGTCTTTTTCAAATACCTGTTTTACATAAATATAGTTTCTACAACATGAAATGTTGACACAAATAAATGGCAAGAGGATCAACGATAACAACACGAATATTACTTCAGTTTTTCTCATTCAGGAAACCATTGACCCAGAATCTGTTTCAAACCACCATTGCAAAGCACACTTTCAGCATATTTGTGTTTCAGTTGTTTATTCAAAAGTCTTGGCCCAGCTATCTTAACAAAGTATGAACGTTTCAAACAAATCACATGTAAACTGAAATACGTTGACTTTATTTTGAACAGGTTAACTGAAGCATGAACATGTTAACTCAAGAGACACCATGTTAACCTAGCTTCAGGTGATATACTGAGGACTGATGGTTCCTGTTCTTGTAACCTTGGTGACACTGCACAGCAACAACAAAGACAATTTGACAACTTATTCAAGAATGGTTCAAATCTGAATAGTGAGTGAGTGAGTTTAGTTTTACAGAATAATCAGCAATATTCCAGCTGTATGATGGCGGTCTGGAAATAATCAAATCTGGACCAGACAATCTAGTGATCAACAGCATGAGCATCGACACATGTAACTGGGATACGATGACATGAGCCTGACCACCCAATCCTGTTAGTCGCCACTTACAAGCATGTTTGCTGATCTTCACGGGTGTCTGAATAACAGGTGGTAAGGATATTACATACACCCTCAGGAGTGGAAAAACATTACTAGGTTGTTTTTTCAGGAAACTATATTTAACGACTCGGACACACAATCCCAGCAACAGACCAGGATGTGTCCAGAATCAGAAACTGGAGCCATCAGTCCGTGTAATGTTACTGGCATCTTGTACATTTCCTGGCTTATTCAGAGAGTCTTTACTTGTTAACCAATGTTAAACAGCCTTATTTCAATCAAGGTGGGTTTCCAATCACATGTATTACAGCACTGGAGAAGGAAATCTATCAATAATTTCATATGAAAAAGACATCCACCAGGAAACTTGTGATTGTCATTATTTCATGAAAGAGAAAATAATAGATTAGTTAGAAGATACGCACACCATTTTCACCTGGGCGAGCAAGTTGTCACCACAACATAACGGTAAACATAATGCCCCTGAATCTGGATTCAATTTCAACACCCATTCTCCAATAACACTGGCCATATTCAAAAGAAAGTTTTCTGTATTTTTTGTGTGAATAACAAAATGATGTAGTTCTTTCTTATCATTAGAATGCCATTCAGACAACCTTCACCAAGATGATTTTTGTGACTTCTCGATAATGCTTCTCGTTTTATTTGTGTTACCATGGTTACATGCATATTCTGCCTTGAGTTGCTATTACATAACTTCTGTTTCAAAACTACAGGATCAACAACCCACATCTGGCACTTGTAATGCGCACCAACACCTAACACAATCTTCTTGTAAACCTAATTCAGCACCACAATACAATTCAAGATTAAACCAAAAAGGGCTCTGCCAAACAACATCAGCCCTGTAAACTCTACTCATCGTTCATCTCCATAAACAATGATAGTAAAAGTCAAGCTATAAATATGTTTAGTGATGTTATTATATCCGCATACAAACTGCATCCAGTCATATAATGCCTGAGAAACTCCTACACCAATATTCTGAATATAGCCTGACAGTTTTTCTTCGTCGCAATGAATGATGCTGCATTCCGGTTGCTATGACCTGATTTTAAGTAATTCCATAATTCTCATTTTAGGGTGAGGTTTTGGTGATGGTGAAGTGACTACAACTGCACTATTCATGATAGCAAACAAGGCAGATGATCTGAACGACCCACAATGGGTTGACTTGGTACATCCCCAGCAACACTGAAACACATTGTGAGCTATCCGCAATACACTCAAAGCACTGCCTCAACATGCCATGTTCCAGACAATTCCTGTTTTTCTGGTGATGTTATCTCCACCAGACACATGTCTCTCTGATGATGCCTCAGTAGACCCAGTTGACTGGCACCCACTGTTGAAGGACCTCCATGTCCCCTAACAATTTGCGTATGGATCGATATGTTTCTTCAAAGCGGTCGTTGACAATGGTCTCATCAAAATATGCCTTGTATACCTGCTCGATCTGAGCACTTTCTTGCACTGTACGGATAAAATCTTCCTCCTGAAACATAAACAAAGAATCAGAGGGTGTGTGTTGTTCTGTAAGCAATAACTTTCCAGCTTTATCAACTAACCACCTTCTACCCATTGAGACCGGCCGCTGGGAGGGCATAACCACTGACTGACTGAGTTTGGTTTTACGCCGCTTTTAGCAATATTCCAGCAACATCACGGCAGGGGACACCAGAAATGGGTTTCACACATTGTGCCCATGTGGGGATTCGAACCCGGGTCTTCGGCGTGACGAGCCAACGCTTTAACCACTAGGCTACCCCACCGCCCCAGGGCATAACCAGAGAAAATAGAACATGTAAGTAATGCGACTCCCCCTGCAATAGCTGATGAACTTACTGAGATGTAGTTACTTTAATAATATTGGTTGAAGGAGAATAAAGAAACAACAGAATTGAATCACAGTAGCTTGAAAACAATCAAGTCAAGCCAAAGCAGTGACCTTTGTAAATCGAGCAATAAATGATTCTTACCGATCTCAGTTCCACCATGTTGACTCCTCTTTTGTCCTGCAACAAACACAATAGAGGGAGTCTTGTAAACTCAAACTTACACACTGCATGAAACAGCACTGGTACTGATAAAGGGGGAAGTTAGGGCATTAAAACCAGGAAGAGTTCTGCCCCTTTGACCCGCCACACAGCTTTTGGTTCAGCTGGGTTGATTGGACTTGGGGGTCAGTTAAGGGTTTAGAGATGGTCATTGGAAGGGACGGGAAGGTCAAAGAAGGGATGGAGAAAGAGCTAAGGAAGGTCAAGGGAGGGCCAGAGGAAGTGACAGGTATGAGACTTGGGAGGGATGGAGGAAGAGATTGGGAAGGTTTAGGGAGGGCCAGAGGAAGTGACAGTTACGAGACTAGGCTGACTGACTGAGTTTGGTTTTACGCCGCTTTTAGCAATATTCCCGCAACATCACGGCAGGGGACACCAGAAATGGGCTTCACGCATTGTGCCCATGTGGGGATTCGAACCCAGGTCTTCGGCATGACAAGCAAACGCCTTAACCACTAGGCTACCCCACCACCCCACGAGACTAGGGAGGGATGGAGGAAGAGATAGGGAAGGTCTCAGGAGAAAAAGTGGAAGGGACAGGTAAGGGACTAGAGGTGGCCAGAGTGAGTATGGTTTTATGTTGTTTTTAGCAATAATCCAGCAATATCCCGTCAGGGGACACCAGAAAAGGGCTTCACACATTGTACCCATGTGGGTAATGAAACCTGGGTCTTTGGCGTGATGAGTTAACGACTAGGCTACCCCAGTCGCCCATACGCTTGTGGTATATTTAGAATGACATAACGTGACCATCACATTATCATGTAATTTTCTGATTAAAATTGATATTTTAAACTTATCCTGACTCATGCTTAATTGCTTGTCTCCTTCCTCTTGCAAACTATAGTGGAACACTTGAATCCCCTTTTCAAGCTCCCTTAAAAAAAAGCAGACGTAAAATCACTCAACCCACGAGTAGCCTCCCTTTGATATTTGGTGCCAAAACCGTCACATGATCAGACATGCTCTTCACTCTCTCCGAATATGAGCCCGAAACCCAGATCCACAGGGAACTCCAGAGTGCCATCAGGGGAGGTTGGGAGGGCTGACCTCATGAGTCAGGATAAGTATAAAATATCAATTTTAATCAAAAATTACATAATTTTCCTTATCCTGACTCATGCTTAATTGCTTGTAGAATCCGATGGTATCGGTGGTGGGTTAAGCCACTCTGGATTCTCTGCTGATTTACGTCCTGCATACCCCCCTAGGGAACTTCTAATGGCACTGTGTCCTTTCTTCCAGCTTCCTCTGATGAGTCTGGGGGGGGGGGACCACAACTTGTCAGATTTCTCTGGAATCGTCTTCTCCTGACATTATGTGTGGATTTATGCAACTCCATATCTTGATGCTCGCATCAAGTGGAGAAGCGACCCTTCTTCATGTACAAGTAAGTCCTTACAAGTACAGGGTCTGTCACTCATGCCACTCATGCTAGTCTGTCCTAGACGTGCGCATGGACTCTAAAGCTTGCGCATGGACTCTAAAGCTCTAACTCTTCTGAGTGTTGGCTTTTACAAATCACGTGATAAATAGGGTGAGATTCATCTCAGCGTCTTTGAGGAACCATAAATTGCTTGTGCTACAACAAGAGGCCCAAACTGGGGAATGCCGGAGACGTCCTCGGTAGCCATGTCTCTGAGGTAATGGTTAGCAAACACTGTCTCCGACTTCCAAAAGCAAACCTCCATTATTGTCGAGATGGAGCAGTTCCCATGCAGAGCGAGTGTCGATGCCAGTGCTCTGACTTCATGAGGATTGGAGGCTCAAGTCCTGCTGCTTTGTAGGCTCTCACTATGACAGCTCTCATCCATATTGATATTGTTGTATGTGAGACCTCTGTAGGCGTCTCCGTACATAGAGGGATGAAAAGGCGCTTGAATTTTCGTCTCCTCGTTTTCAACCTTTGTAGGTAGACTTTCAATGCTCTGACTGGGCATAGGGATAAATCTTGAGTATCCTGTGGCCCTAGGATTGACGAGAGTGCTGGGATATGGAACTGTCTGTCTGGTTGACCGGGCAGTTGGTTCTTTGTTATGAAGTCCCATCTCAATCCCACATGTACAGTGTCACGATGTGCGTCAAATCGTGTTCGTTCAAAGTCCAGAGCATGTATATCTGACATCCGTGCTGCTGTTGCCAAGGCGATCAGGAACAGAGTTTTATGAGTAACCTCACATAGGATGTCCTTTCTAGTGGTTCATAAGCGTCACTGGTGAGATGCTGCAAGACCACGTTGAGATCCCAAGCAGGCGCCTTCAACTTCTTTTGTTGGTCTTCCAACTTAAAGGAGCGTAGTAATGCCAGTATCTCTGGTACTTTGGTCAGCTTCACACCGTCTTCATGGTGATAACTGTGCTGAGGGCCGCTAGGTATGTAGAGAGTGTTGACCCTTTTAGCCTCCTTGTTTGTCTTAGATGACAAAGGTATTCCGCCACTTGAGGATGTGTTGCTTTCATCGCCGCGGTATTGAAACCCTTCCTCAATGCATATTTCTCAAAACTCTGCCACTTGTCATCGTACAAGTTGTGGGTTGATCTACGTAGAGCTAATGTGACTGCTTTTGCTGCTCTGGCGGAATATCCTCTTTTCTTCAAGCAAGTCGTGATACGTTCCATGCGTGAAGCTGAAATACTGTTGGATTTCCGTGTGCTTGCTTGGTGTGCGGATGAACTAGTAGGTTTGACCACTCTGGGAGTTGCAGGGTTGGATTTTTCCGAGTTCTTGTATGAGAATGGGAAACCACACTCTCGCTGGCCAGTAGGGCGCGACCAAAATCAGTTGCAGCTTCTTCGTCTGCTTGATTTTCTGCAACACCTTCGGTATTAGAGCTGGAGGAGGGAACGCGTAAGCCAGTGTAGTAAGGCGTTTATTACTGCTTTCATTTCGAGCATGTTGATGTGCAGACTTTGTTCCTGACTCGACCATTTTCCCGCTGCCACTTTGTTGTTGAGGTGAGCTCCCCATCCCTGAAGAGATGCATCTGCGTAGAGATGAGTGTTGGACTCCGGCTCTGATAAGTAGGTTCCTCCGCAAACATTCGACTTCCGCCATAGTAGGTATGGTTCCAGTTCGTCCGGTAGTTTGAAGGAATCCAGACTGTCTAGATGAGCGTTCACAAACACTTGTAGTGGGTGCAGTTGTAGTCTTTCTCTGCGTGTCATGTCTTGTGCTGACGTGAGGAGACCGAGTAGGCTCTGCCAACTTCGTAGTGGTAACGGAGAGAGTAGGGCTTGAGATATCATCTGTTGTATCTTGACCCAACGTTCCTCTGGAATGACTATGCGATTTGCTGATGTGATGAGTCGTATTCCTAGGAATTGAAGATCCTGTGTAGGTTCTAGTTCCGATTTGAGGAGATTTACTAGCCATCCTATCGACAGGTGAAATTGACACCCGAGCACTGCATATTTCGCCGGCTTAGGGTCTTCTCAACAGATGTCTTCTGCAAAATGTTGAATATGAGTACGTATAGTATACGTATTGGTAATGTAAGGGATCATTTGTGTATGTACGAATTACTGTTCATTGGAAAGAATCCTATCACTTGTGTTATCTTATCGACTGATTGTAGAAATGTGCAACGTTTTAATAAATGTTTTGCATGTCAACAGTATATTTAATTGAAAAAAATATGGATGTACACATGTAATTCGGTCAGTTTAATCTAGTTGTGAACATTGGCCAAAGAGTTAACGAAGTCACTGGTGTAGCTTCTTTAGAATATATATATTCTTCTTCTCATAAAGTTTGTAGACCGCCCGTCTAAGTACTCCCTTGTCAAAGTTGTCAACGATGGTTTTACGTCCCGGTTTTGCTTTTGAGACGGTCCCTGTCTTGTCTGATTTGTTTCCAATATCGTAAACTTGTTGGTAAGACATACCAACAGCTCTACAAGTTCTGTAATAAATTTTAAACCCTTTCTAAACTAATGAAAGGTTTACCTCTGTCTTTTTCAAGCAGAAAAAAACTTATAAACCTTTGCAACAATCGACTGCAAATCGTTGGCCATAGTGGACGCTGTGATAAGATGTGCATGCATGACGGGAAACTTATTTATCAAGACTTAACATTTATATTAATATTTCTTCAATAAAGATTCGATAATTAAGTAAAGTAACACAAACATTCAACATTTATTTGTTTAGGAAAAACGTTAATTCATATTTTTACACCATCTGTATTATTAGCATAAATGTAAAGACTATTTCAGATTTCTGTTGTTGAACTCTGAAAAAATCTTAAGTTGCTGTTTTGGTACCAAATTCTCTCCTGTAAACTGCCCTTTAAATGCATAGGAATGTTACATCGATTGAAATAAAACTTAGGTAGACTATAGGCGAGTTGATATATTGACAACATAGTACATTTATCACCTTTATAAAGATATTAAGGCTAAAAAGCATTTTTCTAGCATTTCCGACAGTACTTTAGTTGAGTGAGCAGCCTGATGCTGAAGTCTAGTTGCAGTCTGAGTTGACTGGGATCTTGATGAACTTGAATCCCGTCGTCCAGGTAAAATGCACTGTGTAGACCTCGATGATGTAGGTATGTGGTGTAAACAACCAGGGGGCCGACGATATTCCAAAAGGTAGTACCTTCCATTGGTAATGACGTCCATTGAAGAGGAATCGAAGGTATCTCCTTGAGTCCGGACGGACGACTTGTCGTAGTTGAGGAAGGTGTATCATCCTGAACTTTGCGGGTCTGCGTAGATAATCCTGGTTGAATTTCCTCATGTTGTAGATTAGTCGGAACTTTTCCTTGGAATTTGTCTTTGGTACCAGGAAGATTGGGGAGTAAAAACCGGGTGTGATGAATTCCTGTTTTATTTTTTTCGACTGCCTCCTTCTTGAGTAGAGTTATGATGGCGTCGAGTAGTTTCTCCCTCTGGTCGGTAGCATAGTTGTACGTCCAAAGAGTGCTTGTCAATGGTGGAACTGCTTGTAGTTGTATCTTGTATCCTCTGCGTAGTATCTGGGATGCGTAGTTGTCCTGAAGAATTCCCCAATTCTCCCAGTAGCGTTGTAGACATCCACCCACTGTCGAAGGTTGTATGGGAACGGCTTGGGGTGGAAGACTCCAGTCGTTCCGAACCCGTCCATCAACGTCTAGCATTCCTGGCACCTCTGAATCCTCTGCCTCTTCCGGGGTTACCTCCGGTTGGCGTCGAAAAGAATCCTTGCCTCCTCTGGAAGTGCCGTATTTCTTCTATCTAGCTCTCTCTCCAGAGTAGCATTGAGATGTCTGTCGGATAACACTGGCCAGTGTATCGATGGACTTGATCATCATGACCTCCCTAGACTCCTTCGTAACTTCTTTAGCCACGTCTTCAATTTCCCCTGCGAAGATAGCTGATGCTGACCATGGAGCTCTGTACAAAGTCTTGGTGAACTTCTCACTCCAATTACAGGAAGATAGTAGCCCTTGTCTTATCAGTAGCGTCAACCCTGCTGATGTAGATGCCAGATGCTCCGATATAAACTGCTGGTCTTTCTTCTGGGTCAGCAATGCCGAGTAGATCATACGATCTTCTTCCGAGGTGTAGTTCCCAAATCCACAATGAGGGTTCCATTGATGGCTCTTGATTTGGCTAGACCAAAGAAGGTACGCCTGGTAGTTGTGTCTAGTTGTGCTAGCTTCTTATCGTCCACTTTATAAGTCCTGGTACGGGTGTCGTTGATGATTTTGTAGTTCTCGTCTATCTCTGGGGCCTTCATGAAGGGTTCCATATGGTGTAGAGAGAACTTCTTGGCGTTGAACGGTGGTATACTTTGACTCTGGAACTTTGTTACCTTCTGATGGCTGTACTGAGGTTCTCTGGTACATTCAACACAGGATCTATGGGTGGAAGGGTGAGCGTATCAAATTCGTCGTTTGACATCATGTACATGAATGCTTCATTATCCTCTTTAGAAGGTGATGCAAGCTCAACCATTAGCCATCCAAGACTTGATCTCTGTATCGGAGAATATGATTCCACCATCATCTACGTGGTGATCTACGTGGAGACATTCACGAATGTCTTCGTGGAGATGCGTGTGGAGACCTGCGTGGTGACCTATATGTGCGTGAAGATCTGCAAGGCGATAAACGTGAAGATCTCCCTGAAGACCTGCGCGAAGGTGATCGATCCGTATAAAGATCCTCCCTGGAGTCTTGAGACATATTCTTGCGCCTTCGTGAAGGTGAAGATTCTCTTCTGTGGGATGTGAAGTACGTTCGCGCAGGTCCGTGATGATTGTCCGAGTCTGAGGTCGAGGATGCTCTGCGATGCTTCGGTGAACGTCTGGTTCTCCTTCGCGAATGCTCCTCTTCTACTGCAGGCTCATCGTTGTCCAGGCTGACAGGTTCTCAGGAAGTTGTCGTTGATGACTGTCGAGTACGTGATCCTTCACGAACGTTCCCTTCTTCAAGCAGGCTGCCATCTTCACTCGGATAGGATTTGCAGGCTGCTTGTCCTTCGTGCAGGTTCGTTGTAGATGGTGTCTTCTTAGACACCTTCTCCTGCGCGAACCTCCGTTCCATCAGGTCCATCATCTGCTGAGTAAACTGCTGCATGACGATACCCGAGTTTAAGGTCTGCGCTGACAACTGCTGCTGCTGTAAAGATGACGATGCATCTGAGAGTGCTGAGGCTCCTTCCAAGAACTCCTGTCTTTGGTCTCTGAAGTCTGCATTGATAAGACGTCTGACTACGTTGATATGGCTGCTGATGTAGAAGACCTCGTCTTCTTCCTAACTGTTACTTCAGGAATCAGGATGGGTGGTTCATCGTTATACGTCTGCTTCGTCCGGTGGGGTGATATCTGCGGCGAAGGACCTCGTCTTCTTTGCTGCCCAAGGGACGACTTCGATAAAGTCTTATCTGTAGACGATTTCTTCTTCAGAGAAGAAGATGTCCTGGTCTTCTTGTACTGCGACGAGGGTAGTTGAGACGATGACAATCTCTTCCTGGACCCGGAGCTGCCATCTGCCACAGTCAACAGCTCCGTAGTAGCCACCGGCAAATCACTGGAATGGTGAATCTCAGCAGACAATAATACACAGTTATCAACGCATTCACTCTGTTTAGACATGACTTGTAAAAGTCGTCTCGACCTGTCCTTGGCACATCTAAGAATGGAATATTAAATAATTAGTAAATTCAATTTCAGATAAATGCTGACAAAGTTTACAGCGGAGGCTGGAAGAACATGTAGAAGTGCAGTTAGGACATAATGAATGCGGATCAGCAGCCGACAAACGAAACCTGCAACGAATGCAAGTTTTCATCAAATGTAAACAAGATGAAACATCATGTCAACAACGTGAATAAACGGAAAATTTGGTACAAATTTCTGACCATATTGCTGGTATATCCTTGCTAAAGACTGTATGCAGCTAATTTAGTAGTCAAAGCCTAAAATAAAAGGATATAATGCCGTTTTGGGGACCCAGGCGCTCTCACAACCGTCCTCTAGGGCAAAGAAGGAGAATGTGAAGAGCATGTCTGATCATGTGACGGTTTTGGCGCCAAATATCAAAGGGAGGTTACTCGTGGGGTGAGTGATTTTACGTCCGCTTTTTTTAAGGGAGCTTCAAAAGGGGATACAAGTGTTCCACTATAGTTCGCAAGAGGAAGGAGACAAGCAATTAAGCATGAGTCAGGATAAGGAAAAATAATTAACCTCGATGTCATTGTCTGTGTAATGGAGCCAGACCGCATGCGCTTGTCTGTGTAATCAAGCCAGACCACATGAAATAAAGTGGTACACTTCCGCCCACCATCATACTAGTCACGTATTTTGTTCGTGATAATTCTAACTTGGACCTTCATGGATGGTATAGGGAGGCCCAGAGGAAGGGACACAAAAAGGACAGGTGAGGGTCAAGATAGGGCCAGATGAAGAGACAGGGAAAGAGACATGGGAGGAGATTAGGGAGGGACTTTGTTTACCTTAGTGCCCCTCAAGAGCTTCCTGCCATCTTCATACATGACCTTGAGGGCCTCAACGCTGGGGGCAGCAATGAATGCGATGTAGGACGTGAACTCTGGTGACTTCAGGACTTTGAGAGACTGAAACAAGTTGGATATTATAACCGTTGCATAAATGAAGTTCACAAAGACAAATGTGAATATCAGCACAAACATGAAATTAGACTTAATCCATCAATATGTGAATGTCAGACAAACATGTTCAAAAACTTACTTCAATTAAACTTTGGCCTCATTATTGATTTGGTTCACTTTCAAATCTTTTCCACAGCAACAATGTGAGAATATAATCTGGTCACCTTTAATTCATATACTAACAGAAAAAGTAACTGCATAATATCATGTTCAATAGAGACATCATTTATTGAGAAATTAAAACATCCATCTTTTTAGAACATATCTTCAAACACATCTCCTTGACTTTATGGATATGCTTTCAAACCTGTATGGGCAAGTTTATGCAGAGTACATAATTTGGATGTTTGCATGTTTGTTTCACCTTATATGAAGCAATGTTACAGTTTTATGTTAGCACATGTCAAAATTATCCAATGACCTCAGTGCCAGATTACAACACTATTGCAGAGCCTATGTTTACCATATTTGGTCAAAATAAACTAGTTCAAAACCAAATGTGATGGACAGAAAGACAGCTGACAGGATAGTGATGTGTATGACCAAAGTGAGTGAACGACTTTAGTTGTCTGGCGGTCTGTAAAAAAAATCGAGTCTAGACCAGACAATCCAGTGATCAACAGCATGAGCATAGCTCTACGCAATTGGATACGATGACCATGTCAACCAAAACTGACCACCCGATTCCGTTAGTTGCCTCGTACGACAAACATGGGTTACTGAAGATCAATATTCTAACCCGGATCTTCACAGGTCTGTGACCAGACAAGCTATTTACACTTACTGTTGGGTTGACATCAAGCACACACATCTTTCCACTGCGGATCACATCATAGATTGACTCTATCTTTGTGCCATAAAGGTTGCCATTGAATTCTCCATATTCAATATATTTGGCATCATCAATATCAGCATCCATTGTCTCTCTGTCGATGAAGTAGTAGCCTTTTCCATTTTCTTCGCCTTCTCTTGGAGCCCGAGATGTGTCTATCAATTAAAGATTGTCAAGACTGAAAGATGGTTGGTATAATGTTTGAGTGATCAAGTTCAGACCTAAATACAGTCTAAGAATTGGACTGGAAACTGATTATAGTTTAGTGATCTCAGCATTCAGTAAATACTCACTGCTTTTTATACTGTAAGGCTTTTACTCATATTAAACATATAGGACCAGGATTTAGTAAAGAGTCAATTGGTCATTCATGACTTTATGACACTTCACTGGGAAGACAACACTATACAAGAAATGCTCCTCTGATCTGTCCTGAGTTATTATATAAATAATACATTCAGCTGTGAATATTTAAAAAAGAATAGGCAAAAATGCAACAGAATTCAGGCATTTTGAATTATCTTCCTTTCCAAGCTGTAAAGTCTGAACACAGAAGCAAGTGAGTGAACGTTTTTTTGTTTGTTGTTCAATGATGCACTCCCCCATATTCCAGCTACCTTGTGACTGTCTGTAAATAATCAAGTCTGGTCCAGACAATCCAGTGATCAACAGCATGAGCATCGATATCCGAAACTGGGATACGATGACATGTGTCAACCAAGTCAGCGAGCCTGACCATCTGATCCCATTAGTCGTCTCTTACGATAAGCACGGGTTACTGAAGACCAATTCTAACCCAGATTTTCCAAGGTTAGTGTTTGAAAGAAGCACAGGGGCTTGTAACGCTAAAAACTGCCATGAAGGTATATACTGTCACTGACAGGGTCTTAGTACTATATAAAAGGAAAGGTGTAACGAGGTCAACACAACAGGTTCGTTTCAGGGCAAATTCAACAATACTCACTGTATTTATCCCATTTAAAGAATGCACACATTTCAAGCCAATAGATTTACCTACAAAATGAGACATACAGCACAAAAATCGAAAGCAGTACTTTGGGAGCTAGGGTCTTCGGAAGCTCTAAAAATCGTGATTTCTCGATTCCGAGCCAAAATCCCTGCTCAGAATTTGTAGCGGTAACTCACCCATTTTCTTGTTTATTTCACATGCACCAAAACATGTTGAACTGATGTCGCCTGTCAGCTCGCTAGTCGCCATTCTTTCGGAGACACTTACATCTCACTGTCATAATGAGTTTACGTACATTTATTCATCACAAACAGAATATTATGTTGTGCCCGTTCGCCATTGACGACCTTGGCCTTAACCTGCCCCATAAATCCCTTGATATTCGACTTTTTCTGTTCTGTCTGGCTATTATGGTGGCAAATTTCACAGAGGATTGAATCACCCACTGTAGTGTATGTGTGAACTTACGTGGCATGACGGCACCAAATCGCTTCGGATCATCCCTGATGAGGCGTTCTTTGAGCGAGCGACGACCCACCCCATGTGCTCCCACCAGCACAAGGATCCGACGTTTGAATGGTGCCATCCGAACAACTTCCTCATAGATCATCAGGTCACACTTGTCAAACTCTGTAACACAAACATCATGTAAATCTTGAACAATCATGATATTACGTAAGTTTCAATCCAGAGAAATCCTCAACCGTCAGGTAAGGAGAATTCACTTCGAGAAATAGCCTGGCTGAAAAGGAAGGAAAGAACATTCTCGACGTAATATTTTTGGTAAACATTCATGTCTGACTTGTTTGAGTGGCATTTTAGAAGTTGAGACGTACAATATGGAACAAATTTTACGGATAACAACTTTTTCATAACAACACTCCTGCTTGACAACGGTATCGAAACGTCACGCTCATGAAATAAAGAAGTTGTTATCCATAAAATTTGTTCTATATTATTCATGTCTGGTATGATGGGAGGTGATTGGGTATCATTCATGTCTGGTATGATGGGAGGTGATTGGGTATTATGTTGCAGGGTACCTTTACTGGCCTTGCTGTTGTACTTGTACTTCTTCTTCTTCTTCCTTGTCAGACCACACACTGCCAACACACAGTTCATAGTACAGAAGTTGGGTTTTACGTCGCTTTTAGCAATATTCCAGCAATATCACGGTGTGTGACACCAGAATGGGCTTCACACATTGTACCCTTGAAGGGGAATCGAACCCGTGTCTTCAGCGTGACGTACAAACGCTATAACCACTAGGCTACCCATAGGACAGCCTGCACTGGGCAACAGTGAGTGAGTGAGTTTAGTTTTACGCCGCACTCAGCAATATTCCAGCTATATGGCACCCGACTGTAAATAATCGAGTCTGGACCAGACAATCCAGTGATCAACAATTGATCTGTGCAATTGGGAACCGATGATATGTCAACTCAGTCAGCGAGCCTGACCACCCCATCCCATTAGTCGCCTCTTACGACAAGCATGGGTTACTGAAGATCAATTCTAACCCGGACCTTCATGGGTAGTGGGCAACAGGTTCCAGTTTCACATTTCACTATGTTAAGTGTTAATGACGTAACTATTGTAAGTCTTTCTTAGCTGCCAAAATACTGCTATGGAAGTGATTCAACTTACAGGTTTTAACATAAGACACCTTCAAGCTAAAAGTGTGGCTTAATGGTTGCACCTTGAGACCTTTAATACATTTTTTTCAAACAAAGGCAATGTTCAGATAATCATTGTTTAACAAAACTGATGTAATGACTTACATAAACTTCCTTTTGAATAGTCAAAATCTGGCTGGACAAAAGCTTTCCTTTTTTCTTCCAACGACTGGGATGGGATTAACCCAGTTGGACCATTGACATCTGCAATACGGGACTGGAACAGAAGTTTGATAGTGACTGGAGGTTTCAACCGAGATGTATCCCTCTGTTAACCTGGACAAAACTCCCTCCTCTGTGTCCATCAAACAGCTGTGTGACAGTGAGTGAATTTAGTTTTACCCCACTTTCAGCAATATTCCAGCAATGGGGGACACCAGAAATGGGCTTCACACATTGTGCCCATGTGGGGAATCGAACCCGGGTCATCGGCATGACAAGCAAAAGCCTTAACCACTAGGCTACCCCCTTAACCACTAGGCTACCCCAACGCCCCCTGTGTGACAGTACAAAGATAGGTAAATTCGAAACAGCAGTGCCAATCCCAAACTGAGGCCAATAGGAATATCTATGATAATGATGATAATTTGCATATAAAATTTGTGATTAGAAAATTTCCAGTTTTCATTATTCACGTATACGCCTGACATATAACTCTTCCCATCAGATTTTAAACCAATCATACATGGTCGTTTGGTGTTTACATTCCTCCATGGGGAGTTGCCAATGGTTAATTCAAGGTTCTACCCCTCACCTGCCACCAGTTGGGGTCTTCTTCATTGATGATCTCCAGTATATCTCCATCCTGGAAGGGGAGGCCAGCATCCTTACACGGAATCAACCGATCCTTCAGCGGGGTCGTATGTGAAGTGAGCCTTCATGTATTTCTGAAACAATATTTAGAATTGTAAACCTGTCAGGATGCTCAAACTCTGTGTCTGGCTTTTAAATCTCAATGATGGACAAGTTATCACAAGTGAGATGGGGTTTTGTACTGCTTTGAACAGTACGGAATGTAACGAGGCATGATATTGTATGTGATAAACTTTGGTAAAACTAAGATCACAGGTGAGGTGTTGAAAAGCCAGGATCTATATACGTGCGATCCTTGGACTTCAATCAATGATCAGGGGCGGTGGGGGAGCCTAGTGGGTAAAGCGTTCGCTCTTCACGCCAAAGACCCGGGTTCGATTCCCCACATGGGGAAAATGTGTGAAGCCCAATTCTGGTGTCCCCCGCCGTGATATTGCTGGAATATTGCTAAAAGCGGCGTAAAATCAAACTCACTCACTCACTCAATCAATGATCAGCATAGTCTACAGGTAAGGGACATAACTCCATCCAGAAATAAAGACTCCGTTAAACAATATGCCATCAAATACTAAACCTCAAGGACATTATAGTATATTCAGCTAGTTTCCAAGAGTTTTGACATCACTTACTGGTTCTGGGTTGGCATAGTCATTGTAGGATGGTACGATCTTGAGCATGATGTTGCCGTCCGATTCCATAATGATGTCCATCAAATGCTCTGGGGTGGCCACTGGATAGCCGTTCACTTCACGAATGATATCACCAACTCTCAACAAGCCTGCAATAACACAAAATCAGCTCTAGCAATCTAACAGCTTTCCATGCTTGCCACTTGTCTTGTTTTCACAGAACATTAATTTGTGATATACAAAGTTGATTAGAACATAGAAACACATCTTGTTACAAAGAGAACAAGTGTTTGCCACTGATATGGCAATGTCCCCCGCCAATAAAGAATGGCATATCTATGTTTACTATTTCTTATTTTATGGTCACATACAAGATGCCTGAAATGACTGGTGTCTGCATAATCACCCAATGTAGGCTGTCAACATAATTGAAAACATTGGGTGCAATGTTTTATGAGATATCGCGTTTAAATAAGTTTGAAAAGTGGTCAAAGTGTCATGGTGACCTTGAAGATAAGGGCAAGGTCACCCAAATCAACTGGTGTCTGCATAATCCCCCAAAGTAGGCTGTCACCAAATTTGAAGATATTGGGTACAACAGTCTATGAGATATCACGTGAACAACAGTTGGAAAAGTGGTCAAAGTGTCGTGGTGACCTTGAAGATAAAGTCAAGGTCACCCACATCGACTGGTGTCTAGGTAATCTCCCAATGTAGGCTGTCACCAAATTTGAAGACATTGGGTACAACAGTTCATAAGATATCTCGTTTTCAAGATTTTGAAAAGTGGTCAAAGTGTCATGGTGACCTTGAAGATAAGGTCAAGGTCACCCAAATCAACTGGTGTCTGCATAATCCCCCAATGTAGGCTGTCACCAAATTTGAAGACACTGGGTACAACAGTGAGATATATCATGAGACATTGTGTTAACAAGAATCGGACGTACATGCGTGCATCGTATGATGGACGCCGCTGAATACATAGTCCCCCGTTCGGCGTTGCGCAGGGGGACAAATATTCAGTTCTATGTCCTTCAGCAGGGTAGAGGAGGATTACTCAGCATCTTGTAGGTTAACTTTCACATGTGCAAGCTATGTGGAGAATAAAGGTATTTGACAATGCACTGTAAAATCCCAGGCATCAAAATCAAGACCAGTCTAGACCAGATTTAACATTGCACTGAATCACAGGCACAACATTACATACAATGTAAACATCTGATCCCTTAACAAGCATATCCTAGGAATCCCCAGAAGGTTCATATGATGAACATGAATCCCCACTCTCCACACTGAGTCCCCAAACATCCGGGATAACAGAGTTGGTGTTACCTTGCCGGTCGATGACACTTTCAGACAGGATCCTGGCAATGACAAGGTCATTCATCTCATCCAACTTGACCGTAATGCCCTGGAAAACAGACACAATCATTTTTCCCTCTGTTGTTATATGTGAAACCAGTATGTCTTGTCACAACATGTGATCTTAGTCAGATGGACAATATGACGTCATGTTGACAAAACAGCATTCACTCATCCTCTAATGATCTACAGCCCATGTGATTATAATATACAATCAAAGTAACTTAAAGGTCACATGCAACGTAAAACACAACTTTGCAGATTCTGATACCTTTCGGTATGGACGTACCGAAACAAATCATCAAAAATGCAAATTCAAGTTATAAAGTTGAAAAATAACGCGATGAAAAAAAACGCGCCAAATCGAGTTCAAATGATTCACTAATTTTCCCTCGAAAATTTTGGGGAAAAACGGGTTTCAACAGCTGGGCTCGCTCATAGCATAGCTGGCGCAGTGAAATAGGTTCACAACAACTTGGAAGCGGGATGTCTGGTGAATACTCGGTGAAGGCTTTGGTGTGAGCTATTTTCATAATGTTTTGTTGATAGCTCACAGGCTGAAGCTTTTATATGTTATGACAGTAAATAAACTGTCCATATAATTTCATTTGTCTATTTCACCACACATTCTTCTTACCGAGAAACTTTCTCAGTTCGATACTTAAAAGCAATGTCATTATTTAGCGTTGACAGAATTTCTAACTGTGATATAGATATGTCGTTGTCACAGACAAAACTCAATGTCTTGTTTTATTGACACCTGTGTGTCTGCCTGCCTGTCTGCTAATGACAATATTCAATACACAGCTGCTATCACTGACCACATGCAATTTGAACTTAACACCAATCAGGCTATACACCATAAACAAAATGCATTGATATCCTGTAAACAAAATGCATTGATTTATGGCCCGAGTTCGGTCTCTGTCACATTATGTAATTACACAGACAGGCAGGTGTGATACTTGAACACATGACATGTTATGATGTCTGTTGATTGCAAAATGTTATACACAAAAAATGAGCATGTATTTACAAAACCCAACATCTCTATATATACACACACAATGAGCCGTGGGGTGGCATCTGCAAATGAACCAGCCGTTACACTTGAGTGCACACCCACCAGCTCTGACTGGGTTCGGTATCCCGCTGCTTCGTTTCGAGGAAGTAAACCTAAGTACAAAATATTTCACTTTTGATTTGCGATTATCGCTTATAATTTTTGTTTATTTGTTTTTCATAATCAGCAATGCATATTATATGTCATTAAGAAGTGATAATTGTGTTTTAATTATGTTTGATTTTTTGGTTGCATGTGACCTTTAAGATGAATTTGCAACATGTGTCAACAATGTCAAAAATAAATTCAAAATTTCAGTAGTTTGTAAATGGACACATCTGTATGTTCGTTTTCCAATAACACACAGCAATATTCCAGCTATATGATGGTGGTCTGTAAATAATCGAGTCTAGGACGGACAATACAGTGTGTATCAATGTACGCATTTGGGCTTCGTTGACATGCATCAACCAAGTCAACAAGTCTGACTACCAAATCAACAACTGACAACTGACAACTACAGCCTGACAGCTTGTGACATTAACATCAAATATCCTGTTGTATTTATCAGCATGAAAACAGTTGAAAGTTTCAGGTTCTTACTAGCGGTTCTGTTGTTGATTTCCTGATGGTGACAAATCTAATCTGTTCTGTGATGGCATTAAACACTGGCGGCGGAGGGGCATCGAGCTGCATTGTGTCAAACACGTCGTCCCCATACTGCTTATCGGCCACCTCATCATGGGCCTGCATCAACGCCTAAGACAGACAGGTCATCAAATCATTGTTCAACTTTAAATGAAAAACAAAGGGAGCATTGTCATAGACTTAATGTTGTGGATTTTGAGGGTCACTTGATAAAAATATAAAATGAAAGTGTCATCAAACTGTGACATACCCAGTAAATAACACACACATTAATTCCATGACATCAGGGTAGGACAAAACCACAGAAGCAGGTTAAGTGCTGATATTTTGTTTGGTCAAATATTCATATTTTAAATTTCTTCTTATGATCAATAACAGATTGTAACCAAAACCACATTAAAGTCATGTTGTCAAGAGCAAAGAACATGTTGGACTTTTAGGGATTATGAAACAAATTTAGGGCTTTGGGAATCAATGTTCTGGGGTTAACATGGGAGAGAAGGTAGAAGACAAGCCTCAGTACACGTATTCACGAGGTGCAACAAGCCTCAGTACACCCTGATGTATTCCTGAGGTGCAACAAGCCTCAGTACACCCTGATGTATTCCAGAGGTGCAACAAGCCTCAGTACACCCTGATGTATTCCAGAGGTGCAACAAGCCTCACTACACCCTGATGTATTCCAGAGGTGCAACAAGCCTCACTACACCCTGATGTATTCCAGAGGTGCAACAAGCCTCACTACACCCTGATGTATAGAGGTGCAAGAGGTGCAACAAGCCTCACACACCCTGATGTATTCCAGAGGTGCAACAAGCCTCAGTACACCCTGATGTATTCCAGAGGTGCAACAAGCCTGATGTATTCCAGAGGTACACTCACTACACCCTGATGTATTCCAGAGGTGCAACAAGCCTCAGTACACCCTGATGTATTCCAGAGGTGCAACAAGCCTCACTACACCCTGATGTATTCCAGAGGTGCAACAAGCCTCAGTACACCCTGATGTATTCCAGAGGTGCAACAAGCCTCAGTACACCCTGATGTATTCCAGAGGTGCAACAAGCCTCACTACACCCTGATGTATTCAGTACACCCTGATGTATTCCAGAGGTGCAACAAGCCTCAGTACACCCTGATGTATTCCAGAGGTGCAGTGATGTATTGAAGGGGTGCAGCCTGATGTATGTATGTGTATTCCAGAGGTGCAACAAGCCTCACTAAACCCTGATGTATTCCAGAGGTGCAACAAGCCTCACTACACCCTGATGTATTCCAGAGGTGCAACAAGCCTCAGTACACCCTGATGTATTCCAGAGGTGCAACAAGCCTCAGTACACCCTGATGTATTCCAGAGGTGCAACAAGCCTCAGTACACCCTGATGTATTCCAGAGGTGCAACAAGCCTCAGTACACCCTGATGTATTCCAGAGGTGCAGTACAATGTATTCCTGAGGTGCAGTACAGTACACCCTGATGTATTCCAGGTGCAGGTGCAACAAGCCTCAGTACACCCTGATGTATTCCAGAGGTGCAACAAGCTGGAGTACACCCTGATGTATTCCAGAGGTGCAACAAGCCTCAGTACACCCTGATGTATTCCCCTGAGGGTGCAACAAGCCTCACAACAAGCTAGTGCACACCCTGATGTATTCCAGAGGTGCAACAAGCCGCAGTACACCCTGATGTATTCCAGAGGTGCAACAAGCCTCACTACACCCTGATGTATTCCAAAGGTGCAACAAGCCTCACTACACCCTGATGTATTCCAGAGGTGCAACAAGCCTCACTACACCCTGATGTATTCACCCTGATTTCCAGAGGTGCAACAAGCCTCACTACACCCTGATGTATTCCTGAGGTGCAACAAGCCTCACTACACCCTGATGTATTCCAGAGGTGCAACAAGCCTCAGTACACCCTGATGTATTCCAGAGGTGCAACAAGCCTCAGTACACCCTGATGTATTCCAGAGGTGCAACAAGCCTCAGTACACCCTGATGTATTCCAGAGGTGCAACAAGCCTCAGTACACCCTGATGTATTCCTGAGGTGCAACAAGCCTCAGTACACCCTGATGTATTCCAGAGGTGCAACAAGCCTCACTACACCCTGATGTATTCCAGAGGTGCAACAAGCCTCACTACACCCTGATGTATTCCTGAGGTGCAATACTCACTCTGAAGTGGGGGTTCTGCATGATGTTCTCTAGGGCTGCAGCCTCTCTGCTGCCCTTTTCCCGGTTGTTGTCCAGGACGAATTGCACCTCCTTTGATATGTCACATGCTTGCAGGGTCTTTGGCTCTCGTGCCTTGCGCTCTATGTTTTCCTTTGCCTAAAACAAAATGAAGCATGATATTTCATCAACAAATAGGACAAATATTCATGAAAACATTCAGATGCTTTATATAAAGTTGACCAACTATTTGACTGGAACATTACTGATGACAGATTGGTGTAAAGTTATTATCAATTATTTCCAAAAATAGGAAACTGACAAGATATTTTACCTGAACCATTCCAAGAACAGCAGGGTCCAGGAGAATGTCTTTGAGGAAATCCAGATCATCTGCCTTTGCTCCCTTGTCCAGGAGGACATCCATGGAATCACACAGTTCCTGTATGGCATCTGGGCATCAACACAAAAACATGGAGACAGTAAGAGATCAGTGGTAATTCAAACAGTCATCAGCAACCAGTCATTTGACTTGCATCTGGTGGAGACAAAACTATTGTCAACAAGCTCACACAGTCGTCTCTCTCCTCAGAACTATCCTTGCACGCCTCCACCTCCCTTCTTAATCTTCTTCACTTACCTTTCACACAATGCCATGTGTATAATGCATACCAGTATGCAGGGACAGGAATGTTGTTTTTCAAAAGTGTGTATGTAGAAATTAAGGTTAGCCATTAAGAATGTTTGTGTGTCAGCAAGAATAGTTTAAAATTATCATTTCACTATTTCACTAACCAATAAGCAGTTATTCTTGTAGATTGAAGTTTCAATTTCTGAATACCTTAGTGCTAAGCTGGAGTAAGCACAGAAGTGTTCCAAGCAAACCAATAAATAGCAATTTAAATATGTTCTTGTGAAGTTAGGGCAACATGACCACAACAGGGGAAACCAAGACTGGGTTTACATATTTCCCTACATGGGGCAATCTAAACCTCGTCTAACATATGCTTCATTCACTAGATTATCCCACCACACCAAAAATGAGTGAGTGTCTGAAATATTGACCAAAACATTTTTGAAATCACAAACAACCAAAACTGAAGAAGTAAATACCTTGGCCTTCTGAATTTTCCATAATGGCAGCTGGCATGCTGTCTCTCCTCCGTCCCTTTCAATGCTGTCTGAAACACAGAACACACTGTCTAAGCTTTTGTCTCAGCTTGCCTTGGCTGACATTTTGTATCATCAAGACCTACTGCCTATAAATAGTCTTGATGTAAGCCACAGTAAGTCTCTGCAACGTTGTGGTATAATCGGAAGGTAAGTGAAAGTCATACAGCCTTGCCTCTAACAAATACTGACAAAGGTTCATGGACCCCAATCTAAGCGTTAACATGAATGTGCATTATTGTAAATAATAATAATGCTAATTTTTGCGCACTAGAATCCAGCACGATGCTGCTCTCCGGCGTTACATTATTACCCTGACGGAATTGTACTTCCTTAAAGAGAAGAAACAAATCGGAGGTGTTCACCTGGAACATAATATGGGGACCCATATGAAACATATCAGTTTGACTATGCACTCAGGGTGATAGAGAGCCCATTCTGAAATACTAAATACAAACTCAGTGTTATGTGTGAAAGATCTTGTAAAATGACGTTTCATTTAAAGATCCGTCATTTGACTGTACAAAACCTTCAGATAACTCTCAAGATTTATCCGTTAATATCATATCTCTGCTTATATGTTTCCCCAAAGAGGCAAACAGCTAATGACCTACATTATTTCAGCTAAGTGGATTAGATCACTGACGTTCTGTGCCTGACTCTGAAAGTCTGGGTTCAAATCCTGGAAGGGACTCAACCCCACAGTTGTGAGTGAGTATGGTTTTACATGCCGCTTTTAGCAATATTCCAGCAATATCTTGGCAGGGGACACCAGAAATGAAACCCCAAAGAAATACTATCTGTAGACTGACTGACTGACTGAGTTTGGTTTTACGCTGCTTTTAGCAATAATCCAGCAACATCACGGCGGGGGACACCAGAAATGGGCTTCACACTTGTGCCCATGTGGGGATTCGAACCCAGGTCTTCGGCGTGACGAGCCAACGCTTTAACCATTAGGCTACCCCACCGCCCCACTATCTGTAGAAACAGTAATAGACAAATAGATCATATGCAACTATACTATTAATCAACTATGAATTTTCTTCCCACAGCAAGGCAACATATTGTAATCCCAGAAAAATAACGTTAAATCCTGTATAAAGGAAGGACTCTCATAACTCGCATATTAATTGTTATCTGCAGATAAACTGACACTGTTTTATGTTGCTTAAAATCTTCAAAACAAAATACATGGAATGTTGTCCTGTGATATTAATAACAGTAACTACCACAATGGTTACCGCTTTTAAATATGACTAATCATCTACAGGCATCTGTGGAGCAAGGTGACAGCTGTACAGTTACAAGCATGATTGCCTTGGTTACCCAATAGCCATGACGATGATATTATGATATTCTGAAACAGGGAATTGTTGACAATAATGTTTGTTTGTAGTTGGTCTATATCAGTCAGCTATTTATTCTCTGAATGATAACAGTTGTTTGGGAAGTATTAGGTCAAATGCCACCGAGTATAAACATGACAAACAGATCTCTATCAGTGCTATTGTTGACTTGGCTCTCATAAGACAAATCAGCCCACTCATGCCATTCTCTACATAAACAAGTACCTTTCCTGTCATAAATGCTTAAGTCCATAATTACCTAATACTTAACAAGAAAATATCTCCTTTTACATGAGATATTTATTGACAGTTTGAGGGATAATTTAGTCAATGATGACTCAGTTTGTAAACGTGTAAGGCAATGTCTTATGATTCCTTACAAAGAAGTCCAACATGAGACCCAGATGGATCTGTGCATAACCATGATAAGTAGGGGTGAAACGGTACACTTCTACCACGGTAGGTACACATTTAGGTACACATTGTGGTACAAGGCCTTTGGTTGGGTATGATGAGACTTTCTTCATCCGGGGAAAAAATAGCAGCCATCTAGCCAAATGACAAATTGATTTGAGTTCTAGACATTTTAGAAAAAGGTTTAAAAAGGTTAATAAAAGAACTTACATGCGAAAGCAAAATGACAAATTTTCGGATTGCATTAAGGTTAATAAAAGACGGTACGAAAACCCTGAATTTTGGATTGCTTTACGGCATAGCGAACAACAGTAATACAATGGTATACCGCTTCACGTTAATGACAAGGCCTAATGAACAAGGCCTTTACCCAGCAGTTGTGTAACATTTAGACAACACCACAATGGCTAAGGCAGTGTAACATGTAGACAACACCACAATGGCTAAGGCAGGCTAAGGCAGTGTAACATGTAGACTGACCACAATGGCTAAGGCAGTGTAACATGTAAACACCACAGTGGCTAAGGCAGTGTAACATGATGGCTGCTGTAACATGTAGACAACACCACAATGGTGGCTCAAAGGAGATGTGGGTAAACGTGCTTGTGGTGAAAAGACACAGACAATGGCTAAGGCAGTTAACCCTACCCAGATTCCATATACACCTGAAGCAGTCCAGATCCTCAAGGAAAGGCCTTACAAGCATCGCTGTTATTTCTGTAGCAATGGCAGTCTTTGATCTGAATGTTTCCAGTTTTGAGTAGATAACTGGTATGTATGCACCATTAGTACAAACTGTATGTGTCTCTCTGAGATTCTGCAGAGGTGGGATCCATAAACATGCATGCACAGAGGCCCAGATAAGCTGCGTGTCCGGGTAAAATATGCATAGAAAATTTCCAATTACACATTGAAAAATAATTGATGCGTACCAATTACGCATTAAAAATGTTAGATACGCAAAAAGTTTAAAACAAATGCGTACGGAATATATTTATAAAAATTGCTTGCGTAATGAAAAAGACATCAATTGCTATCAAGTTGTACTGTTAGTATAGGACAAGTGTTGTATTGTCAGTATAGGATGAGTGATTTCCATTATATTTAAGTTGGTTTTGATTAGGTATGACATAAGGCAGAACATACCTGCTTAGTAAACTTACTCAATGACATAATACTTAGGTGAGTAAAATGGCTGAAATAAGCACATATTTGAAAGCAGTGGGTAACGGAAAATGAAATACCCACTCAACATTCATAATGCCTACTCCAAAAAAAGTGGGTACAGTACCCACATGAGCTAAATCTTATCTGGAGCTCTGCATGCACTTCTTCAGAATTTCCTGATATGTGTGGCCTCTAAGGGTGTGAGTGACAATCCAGTGATCAACAGCATGAGCACCAATCTCCGCAATAGGGAACCGATGACATGTGTCAACCAAGTCAACAAGCCTGACCACCCGTCACCTCTAATACGACAAAGATTAGGCGTTTTGTCCAGTCCCTATCAGTGTAATGGCTGCTTTTTGTCCCATCTGCAAGCATTTGATTTCTGTCCAAACACACCCTATCCTACATAAGGTATCACCCATCTCACCCAGCAAGTTTCATTCCTCTGACCATTTAACAATCTTTAAGCATTCATTGTTGACAAAATTAACATTTTTAGACAATGATTTCTTAATTCCAATGTTTTTAGATCAAAGATGTCAACATGGATGACTATTAAAATTCCAATTTGATATACCTTCAATAAACATAAACTCTCTAAAAGTAACAAACATCCATACACTTTCACTAGTTTCAGGCATTTCAACATTTGAGGGGACGATGGAACTGAGAACTACACCTGTTTCCCTGACAGTACAGTGTTCGCGGTAGGAAAAAATCTTTGAGTTCCTAAAACTATAGCCCTTGGAATCTTGCACGTGCACACAATGCAGGTGTATGCCCGAGCCAATAGTGGGGTCTGGGGGCATATCCCTATGTAAAATTTTGAAATTTCCTTGCATTCAGAGCACTTTATCATCATTCACAAGTCAAATTAGCTCATAGAAACTTTATTTTATTTTGTTTTTTTCGGGAAAATCCGTTTCTCCGTTACCTGTTGTGTTTCCGAACCGCGAATAACTATATGGTATGAATTCATGGCATATATGGTCATACACGGTTCAGAGTTTGTATGCCATCTGGCGAGATTGCTATTTATAAATCTGTGGAATTCCAAGTTTGGGTAACATCACCATGTCAACACGGACGATATTACATTTCAGTATCATGAGACTCAAGGAAGGAATTTTGAAATATAACTACCCTGAACACTAACCACTTTGTGTGCAGAACATGCAGGTAGAAAATATTGTGCATGAAATGTAGATGTATTTAAATGAAACACGTAGGTTTTTGTGTCAACGTGAAAAATGCGGTATGCATACAAGCTTGATCATTTTGACATCGATATCATGCAGTGAAACACAATCTCTTGTACCCAATACTAAATGCCCAGGACGCAACATGCACAACTATATCCAGTGGACTGACGATTATGGTAGTTCAACACACTTATCAATATTTGCAAGTGTCTGCGATAAACCATTTCCTTGGCAGTTCCTTTATCATGTTTATGTCGATCAAGAGGCTTTGTTGCACTTAAAAAAGCAATAACTCATACAAGCTAAGTTTCGGGTCAATAGCAGATGATCGCAAAAAGATGCATGTTTTAAACAAAGAGATTAACCAGGCCAAGTAACTCAGTATCGATGTGCATTTCATTGTCACTATGGTTACAGTAAATCCATGTTTGCTTTAAACAAGTAAAAGAAGTGCTGCTCAACTGGCACAGCTTTTATCACATATGAAGTATTTGGGATTATATTTTCTTAGTAAGGTTGAGTCCCATCTGGAATTCGAACTACCACTGTCAGAGTCAGATTCCCAATCACCAGACCCATGAAGATCCAGGTTAGAATTGATCTTCAGCATAAGAGGCGATTAACGGGATAGGGTGGTCAGGTTCGCCGACTTGGTTGACACATGTCATTGTATCCCAACTGCATAAATCGATGCTCATGCTGTTGATCACTGGAATGTCTGGTCCTGACTCGATTTACAAACTGCCACCATATACTGATATAGCTGGAGTATTGCTGAATGCAGTGTTAAACAGTAAACAAAGCACTATCCCACATTAATACATTGCGTGAAGCCCACCCCCCTCAATGATATTGCTGGAATACTGCTAAAAGCAG